GTGTATTCCTCGAGGGATCATAGGAGGCTAACGAATCGAAAAATAGGAAATACTTTTTAGTCATGTGTAAAATTCATGTGTATATTTATGTTCATGTATACAATTTTTATTTAGATACAAATAATGCTTTTTCTTTGGAGCATTTGAAATATTTAGAAAATAATTTAAAACATTTTCTTTGTTAAGAAATATATATTTTTAGAGAGAGAAATATTTAATAGAATTAATAAAAAGAATTAATATACGAACACTGAAAGATTGTATTACCGAATGATATGTATCATTGTCAATTAATGTTTAATAATGTTATGAAAAAATGAACACTTGGTATTTGTGCCTCTTCACAGCTACATTATATCACACATTTAGCATTAGAATAATAGAACCTCAAAATGACGGATATTTTAGATTTTTTATTTTAAATTATTAAGATTATTATTGCTTTTGTTGGAAGAAATTAATTATTGTTTTTGTTGGGATGCATATTAACTTTTGTCGAAGTAACAAAATGATTATATACACCAATTTTTCTTCCCATCAACCACTCTCACTCGAAGTACTTCATACATAGTCTACATCTATACGTAAATATACCAAAACTCGTCCAAATGATAGACTTAACAATTTCACACTTTGTCACAATTTATTTTGATTACAATTTACTTGATTACGATTGATATTTTTATAAACAAAATGAAATTTGATAATTATTTTTTATAGAGAGAGCATTTTTTGTATAGCAATTATTTTTGTAGGATACAAGAATTTTTCAAAAAAATACTATATATATATTTTTTATAAGTAAGCTATTGAAAAGCTATTTAAAAAATTAAAAATAATAATGATATATTTTTTCAAAAATCTATTAAATTGATTGGGTGCGCTAAAACTAAATATATGTTCAACGCTCGTTGTTCTAGTATTAAATTAAAATTGTTAAATTAAAAAATAATTGATAGAATTTCTTTGAAACAAGATGTGACGTGCTATAAAATTATAATGTCATAAGTTGATATTCCTTCAACGTTTAAATTAAAAAAATATAAAAGTATTAAAACAACAGAGCGATAATGGAGTTTTAAATAATTATATTTGTTTGCATATATCAGCCAAGATTCAGTCTATAAAAATTTATTAAATTATCCGCAATAAAATTCTTTGTTATCTTTACTTGTTATTTTTAAATTAATATTTTTAGCATTTGATATCTGAACTTGGGAATTGTTTTTTACAATTTTACAATTTTATTTATTTTTATAATCGAAAAAAGAAATAGAAATTCATAAAAAGCCACTGTGTGAAAATGACAAGTGTAAAGATAAAAAAATTCTTATTTTAGATAATTTATCGAGGTTGAAACTTAGCCAACGTAGACCGATTATTTATTACAGCATTTAATGTTTTTCTGTTTCAAAATCTCCTATTATTTTAATTTTATTATTAAAAATAAAAATATAATTTTGCAAGAAAATTATTTGTCTATTTGTCCAAATAAAAATTTCACATGATGTTAAAAAGTATTTTACTTTCGATTCGCTAAAACTCCTATAATCTCTTAACAATCACTGTGTAATATATAGGGTATACTTCACGGAGAACGTAAATTTTTGCCAATAATTACCCTCGGTTTTATTCCTCGACTACTAGAACTTGCTTCACGTTTCACGTTGCAACTATCGCGAGCCAAATGAACGCCATTATCATCGCAACGATCCATTTCCGCAACGGCAACGACGAACATTCGCGTTAGCCGCGATATGAGATTCATACCCACAGTAGCCGTAATCTCGCATCTCCTGGACGAACTTTCGAAAACTGTGAGACTGTCGAAAATTGAAACAACCGCCTAAGATTCAAACTTGCGAAATTGCGAGATAATATCACGTATATCGGTGCGACGCTAATATTTATTCATATCAAATTTTATTTATCCTCCAGCAGACTATTATGTATGCAAAAGAAAGAAAAGATTTCAAAGATTTCCAAATAATTGAAATCATGAATTAATTATTAAATAATTAGAAATTAATAATTTTGAATAATGAAAATCATTAAAACCGAAAGCCGAATTATTGGAAAAACGCTTATCGCAATTTTAAAATATAACGCAATTTTAATATAAATCGAATAATTTTGCTAAATTAATAAATCAAGAGTCAATTATATTCTCAGATTAAGTTTATAAATATTTTTAAACGCGAATAAATAATATTTTGTGAACAATCGGACTGTCAACACTATCAAGACATTCTGCTTTCTTAAATGCAATAAAATGCGGTATACTATTATTGATGAGCAGTGATTTCAATTAATAAATAATATTGCATCTTATGAAAGAAATATTATAATTAATAATTGATTTTTCAGTGAAAATGATCTTTGAAATCTTACTAGTGCAAACAGAGATATTTTCACAGATTCATTTTTTGAAAAAGCAGTGTTGACGATAACCGTGAGGTACGAGATATTCTCCCGTTACGAAGTAAAATAACGAAACCGTAAAAAGCAACTGAAATATTACCCTTGCTTTTATCTCACGACTCTCACAATCTCTCGCTGGTCTTTGCCGAACGCGATACGAAGCTTGGAGCTAATTTCCATGTCGGAGTTATAAAGAGACAAGCGCGAGCAAGGGAAATTAGGCGAAGCAAGGAAAATTACTGTAATTAACCCTATGAAGTAACAATTATCTACGCATTGTGACATCTTTAAAGCTCGTGTTTGCATTACTTCTCAAGTTCAGAAGCATATCGGAAGAGATTCCTCAGATATCAAATTTATATCGTGAAATGTAGATGTTCAATAATTTTTAATATACATCAAAGTGAAATTGTGTTCATTAAAAAGTTAAACGATTATTCGTATTAAATTTGATTAGCATTACCATTATATATCTGACGTGGATTTTGTTATACATTAATTATAATATCGTCATTAATCATCATTTATTAATTAACAATATATGAAAATGCACTGTTGTGTTATAGCTAATAAAACAATTATTTCGATGAATAAATGCAGTATGTAATTCACTTCGAGAGTAGAATCGAGAAATATGTAGTTAAATAATTAAATAATTAACACATGTAGCTGCATATATCTATCTTTTTATCAATATTATCTTTTTATCGGTCGTAAATAAATAATCGAGTGCGAAGAAAAACAAAATAAATATTATATTACAAAATATGATATTACATAAATGCATACTTCGTAAAAATTCAAGGCAAAAAAAATTTTAATTGTCAAAACTATTAAGAGAACTTTCAAAAAATAGACAAGATAATCTAAACAATTTAATAATGTAAGAAATGGCACATCAAATGAAATTCAAAGAAGCGTAATTCCAAGAATTTCAAATCTTAAAATTGCGAAAGTTTAAAGTGTAAAAATTGAAACACAAAGAAGAGGAATCAGCAAAAAAAAATAAATTACAATTTTACAAATTGTGAAAAATAAAAAATTTCTGAATTTTTTTTAAATTACAAAGTTCGAAACATTAAAAATATCAAAAGTTTTGTAAGTCGGAAAAATATTAACAAAGAGCAAAAATTTAAATTTGAAAAATTACTAAAAAACTCTAAAAAATCAGAAAAGTAAGGAAAATGTAATCAGTAAATTTATGGTATGATGTAAAATTGAGATTCGAAAAATTTTTAAAATTCAATAATTTAATCTGCGAAAAATTACTTTCAATAGTAAGAAAAATATTAGGAAAATATAATAAACAGCACAAATAAAAGACACGACTTTTTGACTGAATTTCTAAACTATCAGCTATCGGTATTTACGAATCGTCGATAGTTAGAAAAATGAAATTTTCTCATGTTGATATTTCGCAAATCATACTACAATTTAAATTTCCAATGATTGAATAATGTAACTCAGAAAATATATTCGGAAAAGAGATAACACGAATTAAAATTTTAAAATTTATCAGCTATATCAGCTTTTAAGCTAACCATTTGAATCAATTTAACTCTTTAAAAATCAGGAAAAAATTAAAACATAATTATATATGTGAAAGTAATACAAAACGGTAAAGAAATAGTATGAAAAAATTTTAAGAATTACGATTCCGAGAACTTTATGCTATCTCTTTGTTGATTAAATATTTTCTCAATATTTTTCTCATTTTCGAAAATTTAAATTCTCAGAAATCAGGAAAATATAATCAACAAAAGATTGGCATAATATAAAAGTCTACAAATCATAATCTTAAGAATTCCTAAAAGATTTCCTGAAAACTTGAACTGTGAATAATTGAATTTTAAAACATATTGAGAAATAAAAATCTCAAAAAGAAAACTATTAGGAAAATATAATTAAAAGATGATGTAAACAAAAACTTTAAATCTGCAATTTAAAAAAATTATAACTTTATCATTTCGTTTCAGCTAAATTAATATAGATAATACTATATAATATAATACGAAGAAAGGCCAAGTTATAACTCTTATTACAATCCGGTCTCACTATAAATAATTACTTACACAAATAATTAGAAGCATGATAGGAGACGACATAAGAGTTGAATTTTTAAAAAATTATTATATTATATTATTTTTTAAAAATAATAGAGTCGAAAGAAATAAATTGGCAATTAGTTTTCGAGCTTTGTTTCTTTCTAAAAATAATCACTTCTTGTCAATGCCTTTTGTCCTTAATAAAGTGATAAAAATAAAGAATTTCCCAATTTATTATCGAGAATATGGTAATAATAATAAAAGACTGATTATATAAATCTTTCTTTTATTAAAAGTCTGCAATTTTTTAATTAAAAATTGTGCTGCACTTAATGCAAAATTCCTTCGTCTAAGGTCTAAAGAGAAGAGCAATTACACTCGGGCAAAACGATAGACCTGAACAAACGCGAGAAGAATTTTCCGAATGCTGTAATATCCCCGATTCGGCGACATTGCGCACATCCGCGAGAGCCGCTATTGAATTTATTATTATGCATTTATGTAGATTGAAATTAATATTAGGAGCGAGAGGATCCGCGCGCGCGCGTCTGGCGGCGGCGACGCCGCGATTCCGAAGCAGTGATTCCATGGAAATCCCGCGATTGAATTCGTGGTCATGATTAGTTTCTCAGCTTACTTTTCTCCGCACCTTCTTCCGTTCCGCCGTTACAAGTAGTATCCGTTATAAGTTTCAAACTTCTTTAGCGCGTTTCTGATCGATCCACGCGCGCGTTCAATTATTAATAAAAGCAATGTTTCTCACCGATTTCTCCTGCCTCCGCTCGCTCGTTCGAGAGACAATTCATTACAATGATTAAATCAATTCAAGAACCGCTATTTATCAATTCCGAATGGCGTCCCGAGCGAAACGTTTTTATTTTCATTCGCGCGCGGTTAAAATCAGCCGTAATTCATTTGCAAAACACGCTCGCCGCTATTTCGTAAATTAGAGCGCGCGTTTCGCGTTAATCGAGATGCGACGGTAAAACCAATTCGCTTTTATTAAACCCACAACTTGTCGCATAATTCGGTCGCGTAGCTCGCAATCGTTACCGATGCCGAATATATAATGCTGTATCCCATCGCATCGTATAAATTCTGATCCTTATGGGGCCGCGAATTCTTCGTACATTTCCGCGTGCAACATGTGCGGGATAGACGGCGATATTTCCTCGGTATCGAGAATAGATATATTGAAACGTCATGGCGCAATCGTACTTGCCGCTACCGATTGAACGTGTTCTATGGAGTAACTGTGCTTTAAAGGAACAACAGGTAACCGGGGATAACGAGATATAAAAATAAACGACACTACCATTACACGATTTATATTATGCAACAATGTATGTACCGCATCCTAAGATGGGACACTGAATTTTCGAGCAGTCTCTTTCGCAATGGAATGACTTAGTTATACCTGACATGCTGTAATATTATTCTTTTGCACAAATGTTTACGCACATCCCATGTAATGGTATGCTTAAATCGGCCGCTTCATTGGAAACGGAAAGGAAAATAATTTGTCGCATGTGGATTTACTAGTGTGCGAAATCGACGTACAAAAATCGTTTGAAGCCGTTTCGTGCATATGTCGCTCGTACGAGAATAACGGCGGAAAATATATTGAAAGATCAATTTTATTGAGATTTCCCGCAAAATATATGCGAGCGTTGTCCGTTTAGCGAAGCTCGGGACCCATCGAATGTTAAAATCGTGGGAAGGACGTTGCACAAAATGCAGAAATGACGTGTATTGTATTTCTTTTTGGTCACCCTGTCACTTTTTTTCCCTCACGCTCGATCGCGATGTTATTTCTATCGCTCGTATATTTTCTGAAAATAAATAGAGGCGGAAAATCGTTATTTCAAAAATCTATCCGATTGAGAAGCTTTCAAATTGTTTTAGATTCATATATATTTAAAAAGAGGAAACAAAAACTGGAGAGATTATGCGATCACGTTCAACCAGGTTCTTCATTACGTTCTACTTCATTACGAAACGTAATCTTGACTTTTTAAATTAAAAGAAAATTTTTCTCATAATATAAAGACAACACTCACTTTACGCCTACTTCATTTTTCTCGATGTCGTACAATTGCCTCAAGTTTTCGTTAATATTGCCGTCCGATTTGGCGCGTTTTCGCGACTTCCGGAGACTCGTCCTGAATCCGTTTAATCTCCGCATTCGATAAACTCGCTTCGCGACTCCGGGGATAGTTAGCGGTGCATCCGTAGGAAACGTCACGTATCTCCAGAATTCGTTCGTCGGCGGTGATATCTTGGTACGATATTTCCCGTAATCGTTGATCTCGTTACGAGCCGCGCGCTCGGTATATTTTGCCTTATTCCTCAAGATCTCGAAAACCTGGCTGCGATTCGGTTGCCTGCGCGCGATATCGTTCATTGATTGCTTCAAACAATTATCGAGTATCTTAGGGGTGGTATTTTTTGCATCAAAGACATCGCTAGAACGATAAGGCGTAAGATCGGTCGACAACGTGACGTTTTGATATCTCAATTTGATCTCGAACGGAACGATGGTGTTCGTGTCACTGGAGTTGGTAGAGTTCTCTATGGTCGTAATTTCGATTCCCGTAGTGTGCGATTCTACTTTCGAATGATCATTTCCAACGGGTACTGTTATCAGAAACGGCTGCGGATGCGAGTCATGAAGAACCACATTGTTACTTGAAGTTTCAGTTGTCCAATTACTGTTGTTCCAGTAATGCAGTTTGTTTTCGGCATCATTCATATCCGATACAGTTATATTTTCTTCAGTTTCTTTCTTTAGAGATTTGCTGAAATCATATTATCGAATTGGTGTCTATTTTTGTTTGTTTATACCAATATTATACCAATATTAGATTTATTCCAGTCGAATAAGAAAGCCGATTTTGCTCGATTACATTCTCTTAAAATGAATCAGTAGAAATATTAATGATTGAAAAGATTTCACCACAGATATGAATCTTCGTATACTGAATTCAACACATTTATTGGATTAATAAAAATCAGTAAAATATTCACTTATTATCGGCATTTGAAATCTTATGACATCGTTTTAACATTTCATCGTTGTCGATTCAATTTAAAAGAACTTGTTTTCATCGAGCAAAAATTGATTCCTTCTAAAATATATTATTTATACACAGTAAGATTTCACTAAATAATCAATAATAATCGTATTTGCAAGAAGCTTTTCTTACTTTGAATTCTTATTTTTTGAAAAAAAACTCATACATGTACATATTTGGAATAAAACATGTCTAAAACTAATAAACATTTGAAGACTAGTATTCAAAAATTCAGAATTAAATATATATTGCATTTTTTTAAGATATGATAAATTCATAAAAATAAATATTTTTGATAAAAAAATTCAGATATTTCTTTAATAAAAAATATACTGCTATAAAAAATATATCTCGATATAATATTTGTATAAGATGCATTTTAAAATATTATTGACTGAAATTATTATTGATTTGCAATATTTATAATTAAGATTATTAGTGACTAATCATTTTAATGACAATATATTGATTTTGACTTATGAAAGCAATTTCATAATTCGGACGTCTTTACATACATTAGCACAACAAAAAAAAATGAAAAAATGACCAAAAAATCTGTACAAGCAAAATAAGACATAATAAAATATCCTGCATTGTAAAACTTCGCGGTTCTAAGACCGGTAATGGTAGCGATCCGATAAATTCATCATCCGGAACTTCTCTCGTTCTCTTCAGATCCTCTCTCTCTTAGCTTAAATCCTAACTTAAATAGACGCGAACCGTGTACTGGACTAAGTTCGAGAGAGTTTGATTACAAGAGAACGTGTCTCCGACTGCACTTACCTTCGGCAAATAAGTTACTGCTGAATTGTTAAAGCTCATTTTCAAAGAATCACGCGATTCTCGCACTTGCCAAGTTTTCACGAAACTTTCGTCACGCTCGGCAAATCAAATATTTAGACAACGTATGTCACTTTAACATATCTCGCCGAAACACGTATAATCGCTCGCGACAAGAGTCACCAATTTGTTTGGAGAGACAAGTGTTACGATTGCATTGCGGTATATATTTTAGAAAGCAAATTACGCGAATCAAAACTTATCTTACTCGCTATCGAAAGATTCTCTGGAGAAGACTTACTTTCGAGTCAAATTAGAATCCGTCGCGTCGAAATATTCCTCCATTTGATAATAAGCAATTATCAAAATGCGCATCAGTCGGACGAGTTTACGCTTGATAATCGATCCTTCTGGCTGAGCTTCTTGAAGCAGCAACAGCCTGGACCAGTCCGACTTCAAGGTGCCGAAGGCCAAATCGGAGATCGAACACTTGAATCCAGCGGCCATCATTTTCACGGTAGGTACATCCGTGAGATTTAATTTCGACAAATGACCCTCGATTTCCTCGACATCGAACTGAACCAGATCCGAACAGTAATCGGAAAAGCTGTCGACATATCCCGCTACACAAAGAGAAGAATCAATTACACAGCAATCTCGTACAACAAACCACTTTAAACTAATACCTAAATAAACATCCTTAAAAAACCTAATACTCCCAGGTAGCAAGCACACGTCATTTTGATGTTTCAAACTGATCATTTTTGGTCATATGTCGTCAAAATGACTGATTTGTTACATGATTTTATATTGACTATAACGACTTTCGCGATCAGATGTAAAGCTATAAAAATTTTGGAAATATATCGTCTCCAAATTTTTCACATACGAATTCAAGATGGAAATAAATTATATCGTTTAAGCTTAATTTAATAATCATAAATTGCGCATGTTAAATATCTTTAAATATTTTATGACGACATTTTATATAATACATTTATAGAACAGAAATTTTGAAATATCTCATATATAGTAACATATGATTTTAAAGAATGGTAATATCTCGTATGTATAATATAATTAAAATGATAATATCTCGTATACAATTAAAATTTGATACATAATATTCTCTTCGAAAAGGGACGTATAAACGAAATACCTGATTTGTATATACATACCGTTATTAAAAATAATCGCCGAGCAGAGGAAGAGAGAAATGTGAAGCAGCGTATATGATGACACTTGTCGCGACATTTTTGCGCAGACTGATCGCGCGAGCGACGGATTCATATATATTCCGTTTCGTTAAGATCGGCATTTTTTTTAAACACACGTTAGCATGATTGTTGTTACGCGCGAGCTCATGAAATACGTATACAAGGCAATTTTCTATGCGCTTCTTTTTCTGTAAAGTGAGAACGCTGCACATTTGATTCCGTGTGAAACTGACGCGATAACGTCACGGGAATGCGGAAATCTTTTTTTTTTATTATATGCTGCACGGATTTAGCATCTATTTTATTCACAAAATCATTAAATTATCTAATCTCGAATTATTCGAAGAATTTTTATTTAAATGTTCGAGATTAAATACTTTAATGTAACTTTGTTCTTTGAAGCTTAATCAATGAAAATTTTATTGATTAAATGTTTTATGGAAGATTAATGAATATTTTTTTACTGATTTTTAGTGAAAGCATTCACACTTTGCATCTCCATTTTACTTGCGTGTCATTGATTATGTCAGTAAGACTTCATTGAAAAATTAATAATAATCATACTATATACAGAGTGTCCATCAATTTTCGACCTTAATGAAATAAAGAAGTAGATTGGCTCAAATTAAGAAGAAATGACCTGTATTGTTTTGGGATTGTCGCAATAATTAACGAAAAATTAAATAAAGAAGATCGGCCAATCTGCGTGAGTAGAAGCGTGCGGCGACGAAAATCGTCCCACTGTAATCCGATACTACGAGCGCGGCTTCGTTTAACGAATATCTAGCTTATTTTGGATATTTAGGTAATGTCTGATGATATTAGCAGTGATAACGAATCACGAGCGGTATTTTCAGTCGTCATTGAAAGTTTTCTAAGCTCAGAAAGTCGATGATTCCCGACAAAGATCAAAATTCGTCACGTGTAGTTCACGAAGTGTGAGTCCAAGAAGCAGATTTCGGATATTCACTGTAAGTCAGCCGCTCCTCGGGCGATCGGGACGAGATTTAAACGGTAGTGCCGCGAAATGGTGTAGAATTTTATGCAAAAAGAACGAAATCGCTATCGCGTCCGGAAGTCGAGATATAAATTGGCCGTTTTTCGTCTGCGCGCGGACGGTCGAAATCGTGCATGTTGCCCGCCTCTCTCGCGCGATATTCACTGTAACGCGGCGAGTAAAATGGCAAGCTGAATGCAATCGTTCGATTAATTCGTTACATATTTATATATATCGAACGAAAAAGCGAACCAGAATATAATCGTTCGATTAATTGATTAAATACTTATATATATCGAATAAAAAAGCGAGTCGGAATGCAATCAGTCGAATAGTGAATTAAATATTTATATACCATTTATATATATAAATATTTCACGAATTAATCGAACGAATGCATTCTGATTCATCTTTTCGTTTGGTATATATAAATCTTTAATTCACTATTCGATTGATTGCGTTTCGACTCGCTTTTTTATTCGATATATATAAATATTACACTTAAGTGTGTGTCCAAGAAGCAGATTTCGGATATTCACTGTAAGTCAGCCGCTCCTCGGGCGATCGGGACAAGATTTAAACGGTAGTGCCGCGAAATGGTGTAGAATTTTATGCAAAAAGAACGAAATCGCTATCGCGTCCGGAAGTCGAGCTATAAATTGGCCGTTTTTCGTCTGCGCGCGGACGGTCGAAATCATGCACGACGTCGCGCATGTTGCCTGCCGGACACCCTGTATATTTGAAAGATATAATTTTTCAATTGATGGACACCCTGTATATTTGAAAGATATAGTTTTTAATGTTTTTTCTATCTATTTTGAGTTCCTATTTTTAGCAGAAACATATAAGAATCTACATATTTGAAAAAAAAAAAAAATACATATAATATTCAAAAAAATAGAATTATACTTATATTACATTTTTTTACTATTGAAATGTGATAAACTTATAAAAAATAAAGAAGAGTCTTAAGACGAGATTAAAAATTTAAATATTGTTTTAACAAAATATATTGCTATAAATTTACTTCATATATAATAACATAAAGACATATTTTCTAAAATATTACTAATTGAAATAACCATTATAGTAAGATTTCACCGACTTGCAATGTTATATTTATAACTGAGACATTCAGTAGTTATTATTTTTCAATGATAATACACTGATTTTTTATTTAAGAGAATGTGTAAGATATATACAAAATTATGTTAAAATAAAGTTCACATTAATATTGAATGAGGAATGAAATTTTGTTGTATTAATAATTGATTTCAGATGCCAATTGCATTAAGAATTATCGTGTATGTTGTGTATGTGTGTGTGAGATATTACGATAAAAATTTTTCAATATAATGTAATAAAATTAAAGAAAAATTGTTATTTTAACCTTTATACGTTGTTGATTAAATAAGTATATGGGTAATTAAAGGAGTAATAAACAGAGACGCTATTACCGAGGTAGTTCCATACAGCGTATCTTTTGTCAATTTATTTTCTGTATCTCGTTGTAAATATCGTCATCTTAATTAAACACACACATACATACATACATACAACATACGTGTACACACATACAACACACACATTCTCTTTCTCTCATACAAACTATTTTAATCACGAAATTCCATGATGCGCTGCTTTCGATTATGTCGCATCGACAACACTGATGCTACTAATATCTCTTCGATTTCATCGGTTTTTGTAGGTACACCAAACTATACGGCTCTTTTCGTACTTGTGACGCGCACATATAAAAATTATATATAGCGAGAATCTACCAAGTTACATAATTACAAAATAATTACATATTTATAATCATCGCAGAAGCGCAGCATCTCTTTTCTTCTCTCTCTCTCTCTCTTTTAGACATGATTTACATCAATGGACTTGAGGCAGTAAAGCAACGACTTACTTAAGACACAAAACTAAACGAAAAAAAATTTAATAATTTGACATAATTATTATATAATTATTAATTAAAGAACTTAAAGAGACCACGATTCAAGACGTATCGCAAACAGTTCAATATTTAACAAAAATATTTTATATAAAAAATCGCCAGCCTAATATTTCGTAAAAGATATATGTTTATATGTAAAATATATATAAACATATATATAATAATATATATTTATTTATATTTATTTACTATAAATATATATAATATTTTTTTTCAATAACATACTCGTGATGTAAATCAAAAGAGCGAGAATAAACCGTATCATCAAAGAAACTTGTAATCACGTTATATAAATGCTAACGATTATCATATTCTCATCTGGATGTTGGGAAAAAGAGAGAATCTCATATCACATTACAAAGTTTTTTCCACGAAGAAATTTTCGCCACATTTTTCGAGAGTAAACTTTTTTGTACATAACGATAAATTATATAACCTTAACCATCCTCTAATATGAGATTTCAATGATAATAAATCTCAAGCTCAATCTGATCTGAAACAAGTTGAAAATTTTGAACGTCGCTTTCGAGTGTTTGACAGAAAACGTGATCTTTATCAAATTCGATGATTTAAAAGAGCACGCCTCTCTTCTACTGCGAGAGTTAAAGCTTATCGTCCCACTAATGTCATTAGCATAATGATTATAATTTTTTGTCATTTAATTCTTTCTTTCTCTTCTATATTTGTTGTCCTTTCGTTTTCGTGTAACAAATAGTTGTCATTTTTCCGCAAACTTTGTATTACACAACATATCGTTCTTTTTAACGTACTATTCTTTCCCTTATTAAATATATTATATTACTACTATTATATAATATATTTGCACAAATATACTCGCACACACGCGCTTAACTATTTGTATGTGTCTAGGTTTTTGTATCGTGTTTGCTTGTTCGCAACCCTGAGACTACGATTCTACCGCCACGGCGAATCGGTGTGATTATGTATATACAAAGAAAATGCTCGAAAAAAGTATGAAACTTCATAATTCAGCGGTATACATGATGATCAGTTGCATAAAAATACTTGATGCAATTTTTTTCTTTTTTTATCCTTCTTTGATGGAGATGTAAGTGAAAATATTTGCTCTAATACATGTCAACGTCGTTAAAACCCCGCTCGCGCGATGGAAGAGGAAGAGGATGATTTTGCGATACGCAAATAGTAAAAGGAGCGGAATTGTTGGTAATTGATCAGGACAATTTGTGACAAAAGTAGGATCATAGTTTAGTTTCGCAGAATTTAGTTTAAAGGATACACACAAAAAAAAAGAATTTTGAACAAAATCAATATAAAGAGAAATATCGCAATTTTTCATTCGAGAGGAGTTTTAAACAATATTAAAGAAAGACACTCGTAAATCCTGAACGGAAGATAGGATAATTGCATGACGTTTTCAAAGGAAAGCAAAGGGACGACGTCATTTTGTTATTAAGAAGAAAGATGAATCTTGCTTTTATTGCACTGTATATCTACGATAGTCTAGTGATATAATTACGAGGTTTACACGGTTTTTCATTCGATCTCCAATAGGAGAAATTATTAATAAATTTTAATTTTTAAGATATATCGCCGTTTAATTTTAATTCTAAGAAATTATAAATAATTAAGAATGAAAAATAAACAAAAATTCAATTTGAGCGGAAATTTGTTTGTAGTTTACTTTTTAATTTTCAATTTTAACTTAAATAATTTTTTTCACAAAAACGATAGAATAAGTGACAAGTGTAAGTGACATATTAAATTTTTTTATGAACCGTGATAACCTCGTGATTAATGGTCGTCACAAATAAAGCTCCATAAAACTCATTTTCTCACATATGGCTGGCGTTTCTTTTTTAAAAAAATCTCTACTATTAAAGGCATATATAGCGTTTCTATTGCGCGGCGTTAACTCAAGTATTGATATTATGCACACGAATATATTCACTGATTTTTATAACAATATAATTAATAATAACTAGATAATATATAAAGATCCCTGAATATATAATAAAATAATAGTAATAATAATATTAATTGTATATTAATGTAATAATATTAATCGTAATAATATGTGTGATCGTAAAAATAATATTAATATAATTATATTAGCAATAATATATTTTCTTACTCTTTTTCTCTTTTTGTGTGGCACGGGCAGACAATGTTTTTTTTTAACAATCGGGCTAATATTTCGACCACTTAATCGCGGTAATATGGCAATAATTTGGCCAATTCATCTTTAAGATACATTTCTGATAAAAATTCCGAATTGCGTTCCTTGGAAAAACAATTCGGCCATTTTATCGTCATCTTTCTTCTGCTCTCATTTTTTTCACACTTGATTAATTTCGATCTCATTTATGTATTATACAAAGATGTATTCTAAGGTATAATGTACAAAGATGTGTGTATTTCTACATCGCTATAACTATGGATGTTATATAATACAGCTATCACAAACATATTGATTAATGTTACTCAACTTGCGTTCTTTTTCACATTTAAGCTATTATAATTAGTGCTAACATAAATGAGGCAATGTACATCGCATGCCAAAGACGCAGAAAGAAAATTGTAATTCCCCCAGTTCTCTTTGCATCAATACATCGAATGAAAGAACAAAAATAACAATGATTAAAAGAATCAAGAAAAAATGCCGTTCAATAACAATAATTTTGATTGTTGATTCTTGAAGTATTCCGTGTTTCTCGAATACCAGTAGTATCACTAGTACATTAAACACCCACAGTTATCTACAGCTTATCCGATTTCTACGATTCGGTATTGCGATCACGACGATCAAACGGAAACACTTCGTTCCCACAATAAAGCTGATCACTGGTTTCCGCACATGTTTATTCTAATATGAGTACTTTGAAAAAAAGTCCTCTCGCATCTTGTACTGCATGTTCCGACATAAAAGTTACATCTTTCTTTCTTTCTTTTTGTACCTGTAAATGGGGTACTCGAAAAGGAAAGGGTACATCAAACAAAGATGCGCTTACCGTTCTGGAACGATTCGCGACTCGCGATTATCGCCGGAGACATTAGCCAAATCTTCACTTTCAACATTCTTTCCGTACGCAAAAGAAAATAAAGATTCGTGAGTCCATTAGAAAATAAAAAGCATCGTAAAAAACCGATAACTTCATTTCTCTCACGCACTATCACTTATCGACACCAAAACGCTCTCATATTCGATAACGATGTATAATGATAATAATGATCACGTTAATGATGAAGAACATTGCCAATTTTCGATAAACAATGCATGAACAGGTGTCGAATAGTAGAATTATCAAATTTACAATGCATGTTTCATCGATTACAAACGTTCTCGAGCATCTCCTCAAATAACTTATTCATCGGTACCTTGCCCGTTCTGTACACACTAGACCAAAATCGTCTGACAATTCCGTCGGCCTGTCTAAGACTTGGTAACACTAGGAACATATTCTGCGTGGCACGAAGAGCCTGACCAGGCCTCACCGCCGCCACACAGTCTGACAGGGAATTTAAGATAGAATCACGAAAACGGTAAAGTGCTTGCGGCTCATCAGATCTAGCATCGCTGTTCGCTAAGATCAATGCTTTCAACACATAATATTCCTCCCGCGTTAAACCCAATCGCTGGATCCTCTCGACGATTTGAATACACTGTTTAATAAAAAAGATATCAATTCGATAAAAATCAGCATTTTGACGAATCAAGAAAGATAATAGATGTAATTTATTGCATTAATTATTCTTTTATGCCATATAATTTAAGAAATTTTCCAACTTATTTTCAAGTTAGTTGAAATTTATCAAGTCGTTGAAATTTGTGCATATATTTTTAAAGAGTATGTAAAATATGTATAAAATTTTCCAAACAATATATCTTTAAAGTATATGTATAACTTCTATTTCTACATCTTATTAAATTATTTTAAATATAAATTCTTTTCTAATAGTTAAAAAGAAATAGGAATATAATAGCATAATAAAAGTCTATCATAAAAATTACATACATGTGTATAAAGTTCCATACAGTGGCATTCGCGCGCAATTCTTTCATCTAATGTAAAATCTTGCGCAAACCTCAATCTGCCACTATTTGGTGTGCTTCTCCAAGCTAGAGTGAAAGTTAATATTTCAGCCCAAGTACTTTGCAGAAGTCGCATTTGATCATTTAACGCTAAACTGCTGAATCCTGGGATCTGTTTCGCCCAACCTGCAAGAAAATAAAAATTAGGCACTTGTTAAATTGTCGAAAACTTGAAGAATTTATAATCACTAGTATATAAATATCTATGTATAAATACGTGGCTGATATCTACCGATTATGCCAACCAATTCTCGATCGTAAAGATCCGACAATTGTCCGAGAACTTTTTGGTCTGTTTCCTGTGTGGAGATGTTGGATACTTGAAGCATATCTGGTTCGCAAGCTGCTAAAGCTTCTACCAACTTGTTATCTGTAAAAGATGAGACACGATGTGTCTCTTTATTTAAATTGCCCTAAGGCAAGGCATTAAATATATCATTAATGTAAAATAAAATTTTACACAAGCTTTGTAAAATAAAATTTTACACAAGTTTCAAAGAAACAATGTAAATAAAAAATGCATGAGAATTGAAATTAAAATAAATTTGAGATTAAAAAAAATTAATATTGTGAAAAAAGACACGACTTGACATTAAAGCTTACTTATCGTTTCGGTAGGACCTCCCGACGCTACGTTAGCTTGAAACATTGAATAATTTAATGTTATTAGCGTCTTTCTTTTCTTTCATTTCTATTCTCTCTCTATTTCTTTACATAGATATCTCTCTTTAATATATGATAAAAACCGATGCGAAACATATGCGACACAAAATTGTAGAAATATAAGGCGAAGTACCTTCAAGCGTGGCGCTCTTGACCGGCGTGTAAGGATCCGCGGATCTTCTATACTTTTGTCGACCGCCTCTAACGCGATCCAATCGCACGCCTTCCTTCAGCATTCCTTGCCGCAAACATTTCTGAAATCTACATGCCTGGCACGCTTTCCGTCTGCGTTTATTTATCTCACACTCGCCATTCGCCGGACAAGTATACTCGATGTTTCCTGTAAAATTACTAGCTATTTTATCGTAATATACACGGTTCAGCTCCAGATAGCACCAACCAAGTTTTCAAATGTCACAATGCTACGCGTCTGCAAATTTAAAATCCAAATATATTATATATACATATTCAATATATATGTATATTCAAATTGTATCACGATCGAAAGTGCACCCAGTAAGTCCTTGGTGCTATCTGGACGAATTATTGCGGCCTATTACGGAAATCGATACGAAGCCCGCTTACCTTGTATAGTTCTCTTGAAGAAAGCCTTGCACGCTTCGCACGAGGCAACCCCGTAATGAAAACCGCTCGCGACGTCACCGCAAACAAGACAGAGTCTTCTGGGTATCATGTCCTCTTCTTTAACGCCGTCCTGCAAAAACAACAATGATTCTTCACAGTGGTTCGGATATATAAATCATCCCTAATATAAACTCGCGTTTATTGCAGACATATTTTCGAGACGCGATCACACACCTCTGGAGTGCCTAAAGGCTGCGTCGTCGAAGAACAATGATGCATCTCTGGGCTTTCAGGGCTACCATTGCTACCGCCATAATCCTGCGGAATATCCAATTTCGTGCATATTGACTGAAAAAAATAAATAAAAAATTAAGTGAATATACATAATAATTTTATATATATATATATATATATATATATATATATAATAATTATTATTATTTCATATATATACGTGTGTGAGTGTGTGTGTGTGTACAGGATGTCCCAGACCACCCGATCACCCCTTTTAAAATGAAAATAAATGGCTTTTATCAAAAATCACGAACAATTTTTAAGTAAATCGGGTACGTTCTATCAAATGGTGATATTTTCAATTTTTGATTCCGATTGGAAATACGCCATCCGGATCGGAAGTTGAATTTTTTAAGGGGAATATGGTACTTTTTATTACAGATTCGAATTATATGTGAAAAAATAAGAAACTTTTGTATCAAACGTTTTTTCTGAAAGTGTCTCTGTCAATCTTAAAATTGACTTTGAAAGTAACTGTGACGAAATAATGAACTTCAACAGAGGTACTTCCAGTAAAAACATCAGAAAAAACGTTTGATACAAAAGTTTTTTTATTTTTTTACGTATAATTCGAATCTGTAATAAAAAGTATATTCGAATCCGTAATAAAAAGTATCATGTTCCCCTAAAAAAATTTAACTTTCGAGCCAGATGACGTATTTCCGGTCGGAATCAAAAGTTGAAAATATCACCACTTGATAGAGCATATCCGATTTATTTAAAAATTGTTCGCGATTTTTGATAAAAGCCATTTATTTTAAAAGAAGTATACGGGTGGTCTGGGACACGCTGTGTGTGTGTGTGTGTGTGTATGTGTGTGTAAATAATAATAATAATAATAATAATTGAAATGATATTAATCGATATATGTATAAAGTAACTAAAAAAGTTTTCAAATTTTCAAGACACTCTAATGCGTTTCATTAATATTTTTGATTGTTTGCTTTCAAAGGAAGAAAGGAAAGGAGTATTAGTCGTTCTGTGATTTTTTTCGTTAAATAAATTATATTATTAGCGAGATATGATTAATATTAATGCAATAGCGACAGAACACCTCATACATTTGGCATAAAAATCTGATCTACATGGACGGGAAATCGAGTTCTCTTAATAATTTCAATACCTCCTGATGCTGGAGAGTCGTGGTCGGCGAGCATACTTGATAATTTTGCGTGGGCGTCGTTGGATTATCGATTTCCTGCTTGATGTTGGGCATCGTCCTGTTATTCCCGATCATGCTTTCCGTGGTAGCGTCAGACATCATACAGACCTGCCATAAGGTACGAGAGAAACAAAATGTAATCTCCGAGATATCGAGATAGCGTATCATTATCTTTACGATCATCTATTAATGCGGCGACGATTGTAAAAACGCGAGGATCCGTAAAACACGGCGACTCTTTTGAATGCGAAAATAAGAGAGCCGCGGTCTATACAGTCGCGATTGCATTTTTTTGCGCCCGCTATATTTAAGTACGGCCAACGCCTTGAGCATTTTTAGAATTGACTTCGGAGAATTCGCGGTATATCAATGCGTTCTTTCGCAAAGATCGCACATACTTTCCTCTACGCGAATCACAACACGCTACGCGCGATCTCCCGCTCGAATGTACAAAAGCAGAGAATCCCGATTCATTAGAAAATGTAAAAAGAGCCTCTGAGAATTTCTGCGTGTGTTACGAACTGCGATGTAAAGCGAATTGCAATCCTGCACGAGCGCAGGATACGATTACCCGGCTGCTGACTTGACGATAACTTTAGCCGATGTTGAAAATATCGGTGAAACTTCGCTTGAAAATACAAGACTTTCGTCTTTGTTTATCTCGCCGAAGATACGTTTTGAAAATTTCCTGCAGATCAACTTTCACTCATATCAGTCTTTTTTAATTCCAAGAGATAAAATATATAAAAAATGTTATCCCGATCGCAAATAATTCAGAAATATCAATACAATCAAATAAAAATTATCAATAATGCGACAAATATTTATTTTGGATTTGTAAGACTAATTGTAGAAATTGACGTGTGTAAAAGAGAAATCTTAAATTACATTATAAAATATTTGTCAAGGATGTATAGAGAGAAATATTCGATAAAAAGATTTATTAAAAGATTAATTTCTTACGAACGTATTAACAGACATAAGACGTAAGCGACACGAGTATTAATAATGACGTAACAATTAAAATTTCACAACGGCATCACTTGGCAACGCTGGATTAATACGAACAGATTAGCTGCGCCCTAAATTAGGGCGTCGGCGAATAAAGTAACGGTGAAAGGATTGCGTAAGTCCCCCCTTCCCTCCTCCCCCGTCCCGACTAACCGCTTCGTTCGGTATCGTGTGTCGTGTGCCAGCGGGAAGGCGAGACTCAGACGGAGGAAGGGACAGAGAGAAACATCTAGTCGTCCTTGAACTTGATTTTTTTTTTCAGATGCCAAGTCGCGCCTTCGCATTCTCCGGCCTCGATCAGCATATCAATGCTGATCGAGTCGGTGAGATCAGACGTCGCGTGAGTCAGAAGCTCCCCTCGAAGCTCGATCGGAATTTCACCCACTGAAATCAATCAACTTTTCATTTGTGATCCCACCAATCCAATTACGAGTAATTGTCGCGAAGCAAAGTAGGCCTTTGAAGATGGATCGCGCGAGTTAAGGGGCTACAGAACTCTCTCTCTCTCTCTCTTTCACAGGCCTACCGAGAATATTGTCGGAAGGATGCGAAATTGTTCGGTGCCATTCGCGTTTGACACTTCCGTTCTCCGAGTCAACATTTTTTTTCTTTGGTATGAATACATCAAAATCGATCTCGAACCAATCTGGCTATAAATCGCGGGAGAAAGGGAAACCTAGACCTGGTGAGCAACCGGTCCTTATGTTCGTTATAATATTCTAGCGAGACAGGTTGCACAGAAGGAGAGAAGGGTTGCATAAGTGTCTCCCTTCCCCTCCCCCTCGCCGCCCCGATTCGATCCACGTTCGATTGAGAGCTTGGGAGGCTGGCGAGGAAGATGAAAGAGAGATAGAGAGATATCTCGAAGCGTCTCGCCGGCCTTGAACTTGACTTTTTCTGCGGGAGAGCGAGAAGCTGCCGCGTTTGCGAAGGCCGCGGAGCCACGCCATCGCAATTTTAGATGCCGAGCACCGGCGGAAACGGCCGACAACAACGGCCTTGGACCTCTCAATCTCGTTTTATCTCGCTTTATCTCCTCCTCTGTCCTACCTTCCTGCCTATGTCCGCGACTACTCGTTGCTTCACTTTGCGCCGACGCGATGCGACACAATCCTGATGCTATTATCAACACCACCTTCCCGAAGTTAGTATCCCCTTTTAAAATTTTAAGGCATCGTTACAGGAATTCTGCCTCTTCCCCCTTTTCGAGAAATGCTAGAATTTCGATCGTTAAAAAATTATTACAAGATGTAGGGTGCCAATTTTATCCCAATGACACTTCTTCGAAAGATAATGCACCTCGCAAGAGTTTCACCGAAAGATATTGTGATATTATGATTTCGATTGAAATAGAAAAACTATTACATATCGACTTTCCTCTCCCTCTCTCTTTTTTTGTATAATAAAAATATGAGATTCATATTTTATATTTTCCATATCAGATTCCTATATTTTTTATATTTAATTGCTAAACTTCCTTTCTGAAATGTATCGGGAATTTTAAAAGTTTTTATTATTCATCTCTTTGAAGAATAACAAGAATCGATCGATTATATTTAGACATTCCAAAAACGATACGCTAATTTCACAGAAACAATAACAACTTTCTCCAGCACGAATAAAAATAAATAAAAATAAGTAAACATTTCGCGAATAAGCGAAGGAAACTGATTTCAATATAATGATTATCGATTAAAAAGTGGAGATTAATTGAGGATTGAATGTGGTTGCAATTATGGAGAAAATAAAAAAGTTGCACTGAAATTCCTCGCTGCAGCAATATTGGATCATATGACGTTAGAGGAAAAATCGTATAAATCTATTTCTTGCGCATTATACGTTCCAACAAAATATTAATTTCTTCGCAAGTGTTGTATAAATAAATATGCTCTAAAATTCTTGCAAAAAAAGCAATGAAAAACTTCTGATTTTCTGAAGATTTGCTAGAGTTTTATACTCGACGCTATTATTTGTGTTATTCATTTCTATTATGAATTATGTTGAACAAAGACAATCGATTACAAAATTGCTGAGCAAACAATACCGACGAACGAAATGAGAGCATACAATATCGCCTATACTGCACTAATTAAGATACGCCGCGATTAACATCGGTCAATAAACAGCTCCCTATCTGTTGCCAGGTGCGATATCGGTCGATAGTGCATGATTCGCATAACTGTCGCATAATAATTGTTCTCACCGAGCGTTCACTTTTCCTGAATCGAGACCGATAGCAGACTTGCATACTAAACGCAAACAATTTTCAAGAGCAAAATCTTTTAATTATTTATCGTCGATTCTTTCACCTCCTAGGCATTATTATGGGCAAAGTCTAGCTGTTTTTTTGGTATAATTAATATTTTTAGAAAACGATTGATTTTCTTAAAATCTCTTCTTGAAGAAGAGGATGAGCTTCTTTGCCCACTTTAGTTTATTATAGAAACGAAATCCGTAGGTGTATAATCGATTATTTAATATCTCGCAACAAGTCGACAATGTTATCTATAAATTATTATAATTGTTTGCCCGCGTGGTTGGAATATCGCGAGCGTATGTACGTGGGCGGTAACGGAATTAGAACGTAAAAAGAACAAATCGATCCTTCGAGGATGAAGACCCTGGGTCGCGGTCAAGGCTGAGACCTTGGTGAGAATTACGCTCCGATTTCGCATCGATCTTATCCAATAAAAATAGCGCGATAATACGATCGCGGTAATCACGCGGTTCTAAAACAGCAGTGAGAATAACTCCCACGCTCCGAATATGTCGAGGTGGATATTGACTCCCATCGAATCGCGAGTGCCATGAATCTTTTAAAGTTCCTCAGAGTTTTAGAATTTTTAAGAATCGAAAAATTGCGAATAAGAGAAAAGGAGAGAGAGAGAGAGAGAGAGAGAGAAAGAGAGAAAAAAAACTATAAATCGCGCCAACAATCCAAGTTGAATAAAACCAGAACTTATTGTTAGCAGTTCGTTACACTTTTCGCTTTCTAGAGAATATAATTTCGCTTACGATAAATACATGGAGAGATAAACTTTAATTTTAAACAGAATTCTTTTTTTAATTTTATTAAGATCTATTGTATAAAAAAAATATAAAATTTCATTAAAAGATAGGAACAATTTTAATACGCATAAGGTTTTCTTTTATATATCTTTTACTATTAATTTTTAAGATAATTATTATTATTATTGATTACACATCAGGCTTTTTTATCCTACTAAATTTCATCGATATAAACGCGCGAATGTGTTTATCAATAGGCTCATGTAAAGTCGAATCTACGGCAGACAGATCAGCCGACAGATAGGCTTGTCGATCAACGAGTGGCGGAATGAACTCTATGTCGAGTTGTACTTCACTGGTAGGGAACGATAATGATCATTCTCTTGGAACAAAATGCTCGGAGGGGAGTCAAGTTTAAGGCCACGAGACATCGATGGCGTCATCTCAAAGAGAAAAAAGAAAAAAAGAGAAAGAGAACCGTGCAAATCCTAACCTTGGACAATGTACGAAATAATCGGTGGGTAGGTGGGCAGGTATATATATTTCTGACTTCGTAACAATCGACAAAATTATCTTGTCTAACGTACAGGAGCGTAGCTTCTCCATCATTGATTTTAAATTTTATAAATTAACAGATTTTTATGCTGATTGATTTATCAAAAACATGTAAGAGAAAGCAGTTATTTGTCTCATAAAGTGTTTACATAAGAAAAGAAAAGGAAAATGTTATGTATAGTCAAAAGTATTGCAAGTATTGTAAGTAGAAAAATAGGAAGTTCGTTTTCTTCAACGAACAAAAATATATATAAATATTGTATTATCAATTTATATTTTATTAGTTTAATATCATAAACAAATAATGACAGAAATATTACATTTTTCATTCTTCAAAATAGCATTCTTAGCCTTTCAATCGTCGGATTTTAATCCGATAAAACTATAGGATAACTTGATAAAAATCCGGAAAATAAGACTGATTATTCAAAAACAATTATAAAAGTATTTGCAAACCTGCTGGAAAAAAATCATAAAATAATAATTTAAAAAGAAACTATTATCAAGAATATATGCAGTTATTAAAAGCAAAGGAAGATTAGTTTGAAGAATCGAAAATTTCATACTTCATTATTTATTAAATTTAAATGAAAAATTATTTAAAAACGTGTTTATTAAATTTAATTATTAATTTTAAATAAAATTAATTATATATAATTACATATATATAATTTTACATAAAATTAATTATAATTTTATTTATTATAATTTTCCGTTATTAAGACATAAAATAACGATAATAAAACATAGTAATATTTATATTATGTTTTTGTGTTCATTAAAGTAATGAATTTGCTGTTTCTACGAATGATATGCAATACTTTTAACCAGTTCTGTATATTAAGGTTCATGTAAATGAGGAATGTACCTATCTATTTTAAGCCGTAATTTTCTTATAACTTGTCAATAAAACATTTTCCGGCATATATATACATGTCCATCGGAATTTTTTTGCTCATTCGACCTTACCTTACATCGATATACCGCGAGGAATTGGCCACGCATGCTCCATGGGCGCAAACACCCTGCACTTATTTCTATTTGAATACGCGCAACGTCCTCTTTTTATAACGCGTGCTCCCTCCCGCCGTAATTAATTCTTGAACGATCACAAGAGGAAGGGAAATGCAGAGAGTTCGCGTATCTCGGTACGTAATTTCTCTTAGTTGGACGGATGAATGCATCGGCGCGTCAGTGATCGACGCTGATCGCGATGCACGTGTAGTAGCCGCGACCTTCGCATTGCTACTCTATCACGACCACGTTCCGCTTCCTACCCGCGGCCGCTTGTTTATGCGCAACTAACGATGTGTCGTAATGTCTTTTTCAATAATCTGAAGAAGGAGGAATTCGCGCGAGCGTCCCAACCCTCTCTTCGCGCGAGATTAATCATCATGGTTTTTCAAATTATTGTCATATACTGGGTGTTTCTTAATAAATGCGAAAAATTTTACGAGATAATCTTTTGTCGAAAATTAAGTGAGGTTTCTCATGTAAAAAGTTCTAATAAAAAATTGAATAGGGGTTCCTAGTTTCATCCCCTTATAACAATACGGGAGGCTGAAAAAAAATATTAATAAATAACCTTTTTACTAGTAGAAAATATCCGTCTATCTAATTTCATTTCTTTAACTCGTTCCAAATTCGAGAAAAAAATAAAAACCTAATTTTTACCCTCATTTTTGGAGTGTAACTTTAGAGAGGGAGGAATATATGTTTATATGAAAAATCCCCCTTAATTTTCGAAAAAAATTCAAATCATCTCTTAAAACTTTTCGCACTTATTAAGAAACACCTTGTATATGTATTGCTGGATTAATGCGTAGAAGATTCATTCTGTTATGCAATTTTGTTATGAATCGAAATAACCATCTTCAATTTCTTTCCAAACCCTTTTAAAAACCCGGATATCTTTATTTGAATTTGAATTGAAGAAAAATCTCCTCGTATCAATTCGAACGATATTTCTTATATGATTTCATTTAAAAGCATTCATGGAATAAATTCGATTGGACAATCGTATAATATTGACATGCAATATCTTTGGATAAAGTTTCGCGAATAAGTTGAAAAGGCTCCGCAAAGTCCTGAAAAATATGTTATCGATATAATGTTGCATCGACATAAATGCACATATATTTTCGTTATCATATGTTATTATGATCCCGGGCATGCACAAGGCAATAAGGCAGTTTATAAATTTTACATTATGCGAGATAATTGTCGATTCATAAGAAGCCGGGAAAAAAATCGAAAAATCGAAAATATGCAATGATGCAACTCTTTTGTAATTTTATTTATAAGTCGATATTTTATTTATAAGTCGATATTTTATTTATAAGTCGAATTTAATATTGAATGAATCGTCATTTATACACATCCGTTTCAGAATGATTAACAATAGTGTACAAGACATTCTGAATCTTTATCGAGTTTTCTTTCGAATTAAAAAAAAAATTGGTCGACTACACAATCTCATTTAACCTTTTAAAAAAAAAAGTTTTATTTTTCTTAATTTTTTATATCAGGCTACTCCGATATTTTTATGAATAAATTAAAAAAATAGTAGCGTGTCTCCTCTCATTCTCCCTCTCCTTTTTTCTCGCTCGTATCAACGTTACATTGTCACGAGTCTCAATCACGCGTTTATATTTCAAATATACGATCGGCAGCATAAATTCCTCGTTAACCCCTTGTCAAGTTAGTCGAAGAGCAGCGCGACGAGACGAATAATATCCATCTCGTTATAGGCTTGTTATCGCCGCTGAAAATATTGAAACCGAAAAAGTTCAAGTACGCGTCTGAAGATTAGGCTAGGTTCGCATGAAGCATCGAAACGCTAAACAATATCGATGATAGTATAAGAGGCGATATCAGTATTCCGCTCTTCGTGACACCTCACATGGAATTGCGTAAGGATCACGACGGGCGTGGGTGTGTACGCGAGTGTGTACGAGGACATGAAGCGCGTCTCGTTGCACGACCAGCATCGAGAGGAATTACATGTCGCAGGAATCATTCTCCAAAGCCTCGTACGGCTCGCAAAGAGAAAACTATACAATAATGTCGGATAATAATGTCGAAAGTATATGATACCACTTTTTTCTGTATGCAAGCGTGGAAATAGACATGAATAATTTTGCATGTGCGATAGCTACCGGTTGATTGTAAAAGCAAAGTTGATCTACAATTACTGCGCATATTATCGATCTAAGTATGTAAAAAAAATATCTCTCCTACTATAATTAAAAAATCATAATAAAGGCCATTGTAAAAGCCAGAGATTTTTGTATTGTCTTGTAATTTTCAGTCGCATATTTGCATCCTTTTAAAAATGTACAGATCAATGGACTTGATAACAAGATGAGGCATTGTCCACTTTTGAAACGGATGAGTCAAGATTTTATCGAGAAAAATACACGGCTGACGGATTCTCGATTTGTCTTCGACTCTTCGTGGATTTCAAGCATGACAATTTCACGTGGGAAGAGTGTTGGCGATAAAGGACGCCTTTCGCTTTACAAAGTGCTTATGCAATAATTGAAAAGAGGATGCAAAATCCTTCTATTCAATCGCTAATGACTCTATCGACATTTTGAAGAAAGAGCCCTTATTTCAAACCGTCCTCCGCGAGTCAGCAGTTAAACAGATATCCGACGGTTTTACAAAGAACACCCTCTTCACATAACAGCGAAGTAAAATGTAAAGAAAAATCAGAGTGTCGTTAATATTCATAATCTCGACGCACAAGCGAGAATGCAATTGATCTAGGATATATCGAACATTCTTTACAGACTATCTCCCCCTCATCAAAAAGAAGCAGCATCTTGCTTTATCACTCGAGATATACTCGAGATTCTTACACGTATCATTGCATCACGTGAAATATAGAGAAAGATTCCCACTCCTGAGAGAGGGAGGAGAATCGTCCTTCTTTGCTGAAAACTTTTCGACCGATTTCGAATCGACTCTTTCTCGCAAAAGCCTAAATTATTAACATCGACAGTTTTATCGCTAACCATAATCGTTCTGATATTGCGGAAACGAGTAATCGCAGACAAAGAAGCAACACAAAAGCGAGAACAAAAAAAAAAAAAAGAAAAAAAGAGAAAAGAAAAAAAAAGATTAGCTACTAAACCTCGAGGTATAACGAGGTGTGTGCGTGTATGTGTGCGTACGAAGGAACCAGCGATCACAACAAACAGTTTTTCCCCTCCCCGATGTTTTCGGAGCCCCGTTTTGCCGCACAAAAGATTTCGATTATCCTTGATCCCCGGCGGATAGAGATTTTTCGCGTCTAATTCGTATAATTCCGCGCGATTATTCTATTTTCTCGAGACGCGAACTGGGGACAACGACATTCCTCGTTGTCAGAAAACTCCCGGGAGATTCCTGACGAATCAGCGAGTGCGAAGAAATTAGTCGGCGGAATGACGTTAGATAATTTAAATTATCTAACGACACGTTGTGTAACGTGACGACTCGCTCGTTCAAATAGATAAACAACTCGTGAAAATGCTTACAAGCAATCGGAATTTACTTAAAAATCATATATCAATGTATATATAATTAGAATTGATTGTTTACAATTTACATCAAGCTGATATATCGAAATCTAAAACTCGATTCGCACAATCGTATACGAAGCGTCCACGAAGCATATAATAAAGCCTTTGTCGTCGAGATTCACTCGGTATAATCGTCGTTTTACGATCTTGGAGAAGTACTTTCGAGATACAAATCTCTCGATCATATAAACATCAAGCTGCAGACTCTTGCGAATCGACGAGATCGCGAAATAACGAAGCCATTTTTTTGTCAAAAGATACGAACGTATGACAGCCTTACGCTAATTCGATCAAAGGATCAGGCTCGAGGAAGGGGGTACAGCGGGACGCACATGGAGTAAACAAAGCCACGAGATCGCGCGCACGGTGCTGAGAGGGAAAAAGGAGCGAGAAAGACAAAAAGAGAGAGAAACGTGTGCCCTGTGAGACACATACGACATTACCACATCGTACATCCACGCGTCCATGGCCCCGTCTCCTCGTCCCGCGACAACACCGAAAAAAATCACCTCCTGTCACCTGCCCGAGCTGTTTGACAGCGGGACGCGGTACTCGGCTCGCGGATCTACTCCAAGAGATCCTCGGGTCCTCGGATTCCCCTCGACGTGACGAGCGCGAGCGAGCCCGCCGCTCGCGCGGATACAAGGCCCACCACGGCCGCTACCAACAACACGGACGACGTCGACGGCACCGCGCGCCGTACGCGACTGATCGAAGGCGCTAAACATTGGCGCGTTAGGCGAATCCGCGATGATGCACGGAGGACCCCCGACGCGGCGCGACGCGACGCGACGCGAGACGGAGCCCCGACGACCCCCGCGCGCAGCTGCGTCGCGTACGTCGATGCGACGTACGTACGTCAGGCCCGATTCCGTCGCCTCTACGCGGTCCCCGTGTCGGGAAATTCGAAAATGAAATGTAGATTTTATCGTTGCCCGTGCTCGCCTCGTTACTTAGGATGACGCGTGCTTGGGAATTTAGGTGGCTTTCCAAGACGACCGCGTATTTTGCTCGATTGAAGGTACATTGTTAAAGAAAGTGCAAGGAAAATTAATGTAGAGCACGCGAGAAAGGAATACGAATTTTTACACATGAAACTCTTTTTTTTATACAGCATAAGAAATAAATTGTTATATAATTATTATAGAATTATTATATTTTACAATCGCGTAATTTTTCCCTAATGTCCACCAATGATTGTAAACAAAATATTCATCTCTTTTTTTCCTCGATTAGATAATAAATTAAAAATCCTCTCTTAACGTACATCGATCTTGATTTTCGACGAGAATTTTCTCCTTTTTATTAATTATTAATTATTAACGAAAGAAAACTATAAGATATGAGTGTAAAAGAATTTCCGAAAAAATATTTTTTGTTATTAATAAAGCAATAAATAATTAATAATTATGCTATTAATAAATAATTAATGATTATATTATTAATAAAGCAATAATTTTTGTTTATATAAATACACAAGCAATTAGTGGTATATATGTTGCATTATAAAATAAACAGAAAAAATATTGTGTGCATTAATAAAAAAATAATAATTATATTATGGTAATATAATAATTCTATAATAATTATATAATAATTATATAACAATTTATTTCTAATGCGGTATAAAAAAAAGAGTTTCATGTGTAAAAATTCCTTTCTCGCGTGCTCTACATTAGTTTTCCTTGCACTTTCTTTAAGTATAAGAATACACACACTGACGATATTATACTGCATTATGTAAAGTAATGATAGCTCTTAATCTGAAATAACATCTATCGCGTACAATTGCATCGTGTTAGGCAATGCGTCGAGATATTTTCACCTTTTTATCGCATTTATCGCCGATAAAATGACGCGACTGTCTCGATTTAAGACATATGTTACCGTGCTTTTTTTTTCTTCGTAAACGTCGCGTGTAATTTTGGATAAAAATCATGGTCACGGACAATCGGTCATTAACCTAACATTACCAGCTCTCGTATCACCTTGATACGGCGCGAGCTTTATCGTGGCAGCTCGAGACAACTTTTCGTATATATCCACGCGTACGCTTTGATTTATATCCTCTCTCTCTTTCCCTCTTTCTACCTCATCGCCGCATCAAGCTCCACCCTTTCCGAGAAGCGAGGAACCGCCAGACGTCCGTAAAATATTTTCATAGACTTGAACAAATATTTTTGTATACGTATATTTTACAATCGCGTAATTTTTCCCTAATGCCCACCAATGATTGTAAACAAAATATCTCTTTTTTTCCTCGATTAGATAATAAATTAAAAATCTCACTCTTAACGTACATCGATCTTGATTTTGAGAATTTCCTCCTTTTTATTTTTCACTTTTCGATACAATCTCCAAACCATTTCCAACTTTTCCCCGATCGAGCAGACATCTCGTGCAAATCCAAGCATTGCGCCGAACGGTATTTACGTACGAGCGAATTGAATTTTCCCTCGCGAGAGAGAGAGAGAGAGAGAGAGAGAGGTAGATCGATCGAGCGAGCGCTCCGAAACACTCCCGTCATCCCGTCGTCGAGAGAGTCGCCCTCGGATCCTTCGGCGATCCCCGGATCCGGACGGTTCGATACGCTCCTGACGCGGTTCAGACGCGCCAATGTGTGTATATATATTACGGTGATAGGTGAGTGGGTGAGTGGGCGGCGGGGGCGGCGACGGCGGCTGCGGGAGGGGGGAGGGGGAGGGAGACGTCGGTGGCCTTGAACTTGACTGCCGCCGCCGCCGCCGTTTTTTGCGCACACAGCCGTTGCGTCGCCCGCCCAAAACGGCCCACCAGCGTAGACACATCTCGCGGACCTCGTGCCCCGAGTGCGTATGAACCCGATGACGATCCCACGTCGCGCGAAGCGTTCCCATCTCGCTAAAGCGCGCATCGCTCCGGGATAAGAGTCCGTGAAACGGCCGAAAGTTTAAGAGGTGCGTCTCGTAGTCTCGTGTCGATTACAACTTTGACAATTTGACAAGATTAAGAAAGAAAAAAAAATCCGGGCACTGGTTTAAAAAATGTTCCCTCCCCGAGTTTTCGGGAAAAAGGATACTTCGTTTCGCGTGTATTCTTGTCGTTTTTTTCTTAGATTTATTTATTATCGTCTTATTCGGCGCCTATCGAGTAATTAAAACCCCGACTTGTTATTTGCCCCAGATTATGTACCTCTGATTTTAATCGTATAATTTGACGTTTATTCCATTCGTATCGATCGAACGGGTCAACGTTCGCCGCGTTTTTTTTTTCAACATCTTAACTTTTAAATTGAAGAGGGTCTACTACCCTCCCTAGGTGTTATAAAAAACTCTTAAAAATTCTTTATTTCGATATATATTCTTTCTGTAAGATTAGAATTATTCTGACATCAAATATAAAATGTGATTCCCTAAAATTCAATTATCTTATTTTTCGAGTCTCTTATTTTACTGTCTACACTGACGATATACGTAAGAATCAATTTATTTAAAAAAAATTATATTACATGTTCTCTCTCTTCATTCCAGTCTATTAATATAAAATAATTTGAACGCTGACATTTTTTAATTATGATTTCTTTAAACTTAGGAATCTCGTAAGAATTTAAATTTATTAGTGTATATATGTTTTAAAATTAAATTTCATAAAGTTTAATACGATATAAACAAAGTTTATTATAAGATGCAAATTTTTAATTCATATTTATTGCTGTCTCGCGGGAGAAGTGTGTTCGTTTTGAAAATTTTCTTTAAAAAAAATAAAAAAAAAAGTAACGGAGTCGCTGCCAATGGCACATCGTTCAATGTATCCTGTATACGCGTAATGCTAGAGTTGAGGTAGATAGGTAGACTTCGCACGAACCGGATCGATATAGCACTCTCGCTTTCTCACATTCTCGCATATACAATGATTCTCGTGCACGTGTCTACGTGTGCGCGAAACCGGGACTGTACGAAACCGTAATGCAATCTTCAGTCTTCCGACGCTATGGATAACCTTATGCCAATCACTCGCGTTTCATCCATCGAATCGCAATTAGCGAGCTTACATCCGGCTTTTAAATCCCTGAAATGTATATCATGTGAAATTTATTTCTTGATTTTTCTAACATTATTAGCCAATATATTGCAGCGAAGAATTATCATATAAGAATTTAAGAATCAAATATATTAAATATATTCACGATTGTCTCTACAATAATTATATTTTCTTGTTTGAAAAATTATATTTAAATGTAAAAATTCTAGGAAAGGAAAGGAACAAAATACAGATATTTGTAAAACATAATCTCGGCAAGCTTACATCCAGTCTTTCAATTCGTATTGTGAAATTATTTCTTGAGCTAATGTTTTTTCAAAACAAAAAATTCATAATTTTTCTATCATTATAATCGGAAGAATTGTATTAAAAATTAATGATTAGGATCTATTAGAATTTAATTTTACTACGGTTGTGTCTGCAATCGTATTTTCTTTTGAATAATTATATTTAAATGCCAAAATTCTAAGAAAAAGAAATATAAAGGGACAAAATTGTAAAACATATGATCTCAGCAAGCTTATATCCAGCCTTTTAATACGTATTGTGAAATTTATTTCTTGATCTAGTGTAGACAAAAATTCACAATTTTTCTATCATTATAATCGGAAGGATTTTATTAAAAATTAAAGATTAGGATCTATTAGAATCTAATTCTACCACAGTTGTCTCTGCAATAATCGTACTTTCTTTTGAATAATTATATTTAAATGCCAAAATTCTAAGAAAAGAAATATAAAGAGACAAACTATATAGATTTTTGTAAAACATGATCTCAGCAAGCTTATATCCAGCCTTTCAACACGTATTGTGAAATTTATTTCTTGATCTAGTGTAGACAAAAATTCACAATTTTTCTATCATTATAATGGGAAGAATTTTATTAAAAATTAAAGATTAGGATCTATTAGAATCTAATTCTATCACAGTCTCTGCAATAATCGTATTTCCTTTTGCATAATTATATTTAAATGCCAAAATTTTAAGAAAAAGGAATATAAAGGGACAAAATATATAAATTTTTGTGAACCACGTGGCTGCCAGAGTTAAATAAATTCGCGCATTTTATCACACATATCGAGAGAATTCGTCGATAATGAAGATATTCCCGCGGAAAGTTCCGGTCGATACTGCTCGCCGGAATTCGAATCGCTCCCGTGACGATGCAAGGCTTCGGAAAGTATCAGGCTGGTACTACCAGCTGATATGTACCAGCGCAGCCAATGCACTTGCACATGTAACGCCTCTACGTAATCGTTTCGTAACGCATCGTTACTATGGAAATCTCGTCGATGTACGATATTCGACAGGGCGAAATATCGCGATGCGTCTTTGACACATTGCGAATAAAAATATCCAAAAAAAAAAAAGAGAAAAAATTGTATCGTAATTTCGCGAAAATATTTTGCACGACGACGACGTGCACATCGCGTGTACTCAATCGAGTCTGCTAATCGACGATTCATCTCAAAATTGGGGGCTCAAGGTTACCCCGATGCATAAGATTATTCCGCGACGCGAGGAAGGGAAGAGGAAAGTGAGCGTAAAAAAAAACAACGCGTGTACATCGACGTATACATCGGAGTAGAGTCGCTGAAGTAGATACAGTACACGGGATATGAGCGAATTTGCAAAGATGGCGGTCGGGGATTTGGCAAAATCAACGATGTTGCTTGTCGCGCGGCACCGATCCTAGATTCGAAGCTACACGCGCGAGAGTGTATTGCCAATTATGTTTACTCACCAATGTCGGGGGAGGGGAGGGAGAGAGTGGTTCACCAGGTCGATCGTGAGCTTCCCATTGCGAACCGCTTCTAGCTGCTCGATGCACGACAAAAATGTTGATGTAATGGCCGATTTTATGGACCACCAGCGGTAGAAAACTCCGGGGAACTTTGCGGGGGCAGCAGCATCGAGCTCGTGGTGCCATCAAACGTGAACGAAAGGCAAACGGCGCAAAGTTCAACAGCGACGATCTCTATCGGTGACTCAGGGCACGATGGTTCTATTAAAAAATATAAAATAACGTAGTGACGAATATTTTTTTAACGAGTCTCGTGTAAAGTTCGTATTGAACTATGCATTGTAGATTAAAATTTAATTAATTACAAAAAGATACTTTAACTCTTTTTATCTTGATTAATCAAATTTTTATCTTCAATGCGTAACATGATATAACTTTTACTTTTATCCTTATATTTGCAATAAGCAATTGAATTCAGTGTCAAAATATAATTTTGTTAAATCTCACAAAAGTTACTTAAAAAATCTATATAAATCAATGTTTAAATTTCCTCATAACAAGATTATCTAAGAATAAGCAGAAAATCTGCATTTGAAAGTTTGATCAACTTAAGAGATATGCAAGAGTATGCAATTAATTAAGTATTAAAAGAAAAATATAGGACAAGGAAGAAATGTAAAAAAAAAAATTTTATATTATAAACTTATATATAAACATATTTTTCAAAATATTATATAAATATAAAAATATCCAACTATTTTTGGTTATTACATACATTTTTATTTTAAAGCTATCAAACTTTGACGATCTCGCAAGAGATATTACTAGAATTCCATTTATCGCCGAGAGCCGGTTTCACGCTCAATCTTGCATAAGCGTGTTTGTGCATGCGTTCCGGATTCAGAGTCACGCACTCGTTAATCACTTTGCAATAACATCGCATATCGGATGGTAAAATTAACACGTGCGGTTGTTGATCGAAAAATGCATGCTTTTCCCATAAATCCGTGTCCACGTTTAGGTCCTCGAACGGAGGATACACGGGATAGAAACATGTTTGAGCGAGCACATGATCAGCCAGACGACCAAGTCGGTCACCGGTTACGTTTCTGAAAATAATGCACGCATTTTCATATTTTTTGTAAAAAAAATATATTTCTTGTATATAAAATATGCATTATAGATGTAACTGAAAAATATTATCTCATTGTCATCACATTTTATAATAATTACACTGTGATACTCACGATATCTCCTCTTTTCCGATGTGTTTGATTACATCGACTGACGTGACTCCGATCTTTAAGCCGGCAACATCCAATATACAGGGATCTGGCATTAATTTTAAATTCCGATAATTTTGCAACAACTTTTTGTTAAAAACAGCATACTCAGGTGTTGGAAATATAGGTTCGTGATGTGCGTCGCGATTAGAAGCCACCAACACGACTTGCGTGTTTTTCCTGTAATAATAGGATACATATAATTATAATAAAAACAGAAATAATCTACAAATCAATCTGTATATAATTATGAGGAGAAATATTCTATATTACTTCGTTGATTCCATTATCCTCGTGAGAATCTTTTCGAAGAATTCCTGATGCGTATCCCTAATGAGATTATTTTGTACTTCGGGGTGCGTGTATTCGAGGAAAGGCCCGACGAGGATCAAAACGTGCGGCTCGTCTGACGCAATCTTCTCCATCAAATCCCATAACGGCTGGTAAAGCGTGTTACTGAGCGCGGTAAACGGGCCCGCCGCGACGAAGATGTTAATCTTCGATTCGAGTCTAGGCGCGGATGCGGACGGCGCGTATGCCTTCGCGAATATCTGATTTACATATAAAGCATCGCCTATCGGGTTGGTGGCCTCGACCGCTACAATCTGCCCAGAAAATACAGAGTATTGTTTCAGATTGCGAAAATCCAGCTCGATCGAGTCGGCCATCGAAGCGCCTCTCCGTCTCGTGCAACCTTCCAACGTCACCGTATTCGCGGATTCCTTCTTCACGTTGACGCGACCGAATGTCCGGAAGTGCGTCTGGTTCACGCTTCGTACGTTCTTTACGTAACGCAATTCGGCAGTGGCGTTACCGGTCATCGCCGACCACGTTTTGAACAGTCTGCTGCCTAGACGTCGACACACCGACGTGAGAAGATGTCCCTGTTTCGACAGGATCTCGTACATGTACCTTGCGTCGACGGGAACATGCGGTTCGTCGGACTTCGTGATTTCGACTTCGTAATCTCCTGTCCTCTTCCATGACGCGACGCTCTCGCCGGTGAAGAGCAGGATCTTTCCTTTGTCCGTTGCATTACGCAGATTCGACGTGCTTCTAAAAACAATTACACGATTTTTTGTGGATAACGAGATATATATATATATATAAACTTAGTTTTTCTATTTCATTATATAATATCAATTGTTTCATAGAAATGATGCAATGTTTCACAATCATAAAGTTAAAAGGTAATCGTAATAAATTTTTGAATTGATTATAAAAAACAAAGTTAGAGAAGAACTTATTAATATTTATAATTTGTTATAAGAAAAAATGCTTATAATTATTTGATATTAAAGCTAAAAAAATACATTCATTAATATTACGATTAATATTACGATTAATAATAATAATCATACATTTCTGGAAACAATGTAAGAGAACGTACTAGAAACTTTGTGTGTTAATATAGTCAAAAAAATGTAAAACGGATCAAACTGAATCCCATTAAAAAAATATCAATCAAATTATTTTTAAATTTCGAAAAATTTGCTTGTGATATATTTTTGTCTTTCAAATAAATAATTGTTTTTCTCAGAATTGTTATTTTGCATTATCAAAAACAGATAAAGTATTTTATTCAAATTTGATGAAAGACAGCTGTACACATACACCAATTTTTTAAAATTAATATCTCAATAATTATTTATCAGAGAAAAGATGATACAAGATTTTTCGATTCGGTTCGATCCTAGAAATATATTAGAATATTGCTCAATTTTTGTTTACATCCTTATACATAAAATTTCAGTCCATTAATAATACTAGACTCGAGCTGCTCAAAAAACCTCTGCTTACGAGTTTTCGGCGTAGCTAGCTGATGAAAACGAAAACTCTGCGACTCTGGTTTTATCCGTCTGAGCATCTGTATCAATCTCTGGACTTCGCGCGCGCTGCAACGAGACAAAAGAAAACAGACGCATTATCCATCTTTTGCACATCAAACTCATCAATCAATCCGTAAGATAAACGTATCAACATAAACGCACATAAACGTTTAATTAAACAACTTCTTTCTGAACCATCTTATATTTCTAAATTAGAGATTATATATTACACAACTGCAGAGAAAAATTCGCTCTCGTGTGTGTAATATATATTTTACATTTTTTAAATATAATTTAAGATAATCTGGAGATAAGCTTTTCAGTTATTATATCGATATTTATTTTTCTGAATACAATACACACGTATAAGGAATAAATGATGCAATAATACGCTAAATAAGACGGAATTGTATAAATATATACCTGTACAATATTCTTTCCTAAACACTAAATCTAATAAGATAAGGTTGAGCGCTTACTATGTATATTTACAATCATTATCACGCAATATTTAAAGACGTTTTATAGATATATCTTCAAAGCAGAGATATCTGGAAACTTATATTTCCTAATTTTTCGAGTTTTTTACAAACGATATAGATCATACATTACGTGTAAATATATGTAACGTAGCAAAATAATAGGATACGAGACACATAAATTTTACGAAACACAAAACACATACGTATTTTAATGATACACGTACATTCGAAGAAGGTGCTTCCGGTATCAAGATAGATTACCGTAGAAGAGTATGTATCTAGTCACGAAATAATACGATGCACGTGCACTAAATTCATACTCGTCTATGGAATTACTTTCTTTCTCTAAAATTTCAATCCATTTACCACGATATCTCAGAGTTGTCGTCTCATCTTGAAATATCTCGGAGATTTACTATTCAACCGGTCAATCTAGAAAGAACGCATTACTTTACGATGCATAGTTACTCCTCGATTATAAAGAGTCAAATGACGCACGCGTTTGTCTCATCAGCTGATTGTTGTCAGGCTGCGCTTCGTCAATTTTGGCGATCGATTTCTATCGGATTTCAGCTGCGATGCTCGAACGTGCTTAATGAGTGTGGATCTAGTCACAACTTTATCGACCGTGCACTAGACCGCCACTCATTCGGCAAATTCGGAAAGGAATCGTCTCCGGCCTTGTGGTCTCTCTCCTCCTCCGGGAGTGGGCTTGATCCCGCAAACGCAAAAGAAAAAAAAAATGAAAAAAAAACGCCTCGCTAGCACGTTGTGTGCACGCGAATACAGTAAGGAAACAACGACGACAATCGCCATTTACTGGTTATAGAAAGGTTAACTGCGATTAACCTGTCCGCTCTCTTAACGTTCGCTTTATTACGCATTGTTTCAATCAAGTTCAGAGACAGTCCCGCTCGTTCGCGTTTCGATGCCGTCCGATCCGCTCGATCCCAGTCGAGCGGCTCGTTCTAGGTTTCGAAACGTACGCCTGGCCTGCAGTCGCGTACGTTACGTTACGTTACACGAGTAACGTTCCTTCGCACACACGTAACATGTCCTGTCTCCCTCTCACGCTTCTCTTTCTTTCTCTTTCTCTCTCTCTCTCTCTTTCTCTCTCTTCCACGTTGAGTGCGCGACGAAGCGCGAAGGTTTCGTCCCGAGCGTTAGCAAAACAAATTTTTTTTATGGCAAAAAATATTTTGATGCGGCAAAGGTTTGTCCGACGAGATATGAAGGATGTCTAATAAATTGTAAGATGTAAGGAGAATGTTCTCGAGAAAACTCAAGGTTCACGACTCATTTCGTTGTGTAAACTTCGTTTATCATTGTGTAGACTACTATTCGTATCTGTGTCCGTAAATATTTTGGTTGGAATTTCGTTGGAAATTATATTATCCGTTTTTATCGAAAGCTGACACGCGATACAGAAAATATACATAAAAGATACAGGAGATACACTGATTTGTTGGGATTTTCTAACTTGATAATTTCGTTGCGTATATCGACGAAAGCTACGTAATGCTAATCTCGCAATGTATATAATCGATATAAAAATAAAAATTCGCTATCTATTTAATAAGTAACCTCACGCACAGATTTGTTTCTATATATAAATTATTAGAACATAAAATGTACAAATATACAGTCGCTAAAAAAAAAACGTATTAAATCTCTCTAAAATTTAAATAAAATTTTACTACATTTACACTTTAATAAAATTTAATTCCTGAAAAGGAATTCTTGAATTGTCTAATCAAACTTCAAAACTTTTTCTTTTTGTTAAAAGAAATCGACTATAAATTGCTCAAAAAAATTTGAAAATAAAAACAATGAATTCTTCGATATTTTGTACAGAAACAAATCTTTAGAGATTACTCACGAGACCGAAAGCGTCTCGAAATCGATTCCCTCTCTCTCCCTCTCTTCGCTCCGATATTTTATCTTTAACATTTCGTTCCCATGGAAAAAGTACGTTAAATTTCCAACGAAATTCCTCGGTCGTCCTCGCGTATGAACCCAACGAAACGAACCGACCGTCCCGATCGACTGTTCGCGCGCGCTTAGACATCCATGGATATTGATCTATCTCGTCTGAGTCACGCGGCGCAAAGGATAGAGATGAAAGAAATGCCCGACAGACCGAAAGCCGTGCGGGCGAGGGAAGAGATTGGAACAGTTGTTGCTCAATTGTGCTTAATTGATGGAGAGAAAGAGAGACAGAGAGAGAGAGAGAGAAACTGACATGTCTACGCCACGAGGAAACCGCTGCTCGAATGCGATATTCGCTGGATGCAAATTATTCGCGTTGCCGCCGATCGGCGGGACGGCTTGTTGTCGGCGATTCTCCGGCGAGCGATGGAAGAGAAAGTTTACGAGGAACGAAAGCTGATAACCATCGGCGAAAGATTCGCTGGAAAATTTCTTCCTCGCCGTTTCTCTTTCTTGAACGATCAAACGATTTTTTCCTCTTCTAATTTGAAAAAATAAAAAAATAATTATATATATATCAGCGATCTTGGAATATTAAAAATTCATGAATTTTACAAATATAAATAATAAAGTGAAAAAGAGAGAGACTCCACTTTAAGGCAGCGTTATTAGAAAGAATAATTCAAATCTTTTCACCGTTAAGGGAAACAATACATACTTTTTTTCGCTGCAATATATGACAAACGATAATTGAAAAAGTGTTAATTTCTAATCCTTAACAGATATAAAATTTGAATTTTACTCCCACACACTCATACCTTTCTATTCGCAGTTAAAGAAAATGATCTCCCTAGCGCAATCGTCTTTGAAAAAAATCCGGATTTACTTTCTGAGGATTACGAGGAGAATCGCCGTGTCGCGATCGGCGCAACAGGTTGCGGGGCGCTCAACAGGATTCATCGAACCAACGGTCGACGCACTCGTGGCCGCGCGGCGCGCATCTTCTCCCTAGGGGCGCGCATGCGCGCTCGCGTCCGCGCGGCGCGTATCACGCGCGGCGAGATCGATTCTCCGATTTCCGTCCGCGCGATCTCGCGATCGCGCGTCGCCGGCGAGTAGCGCGAACGCATCCGGGAGCCCCGCGATAATCGACGATGACTGTTCGCCTTTCGCGAGCCTCGCTCGCGCCGAGATCCATCATGGCCGCCAAAGTTGCCGCTTCTCTCGCGTTCCTCGTCGCATCGTCACGTAACCGCGCGTCGGGGATACGTAACTTTACAAAAACGACACCCACACGCGTGCACACACGCGGCCATCCGCGCGCGCGCGCGCGCGCGCAACGACGATTGACGCGCTCGCCGATTTTTCCTCGCCGGATCGATCGCTCGGCGATAAATTCGAAGCCAGAGGCCCGATTATTCTTCAGGGGAAATTCACTCGCGACGACGCCGTGTCAGACGACGCCGATGGTGGCGTTGCTCCGGCGACGCCATCGAGATTACCAAGCCGCGTAACGGCGGCCCTGCAACGATGCGGATCGCGTAACCGCGAGGTATAATAACTCGAGCACTGAGCGGAAAATAACGCGCGGGCGTGGGTCGCGCAAAGCGTGAATCCGAAGAGACATGCGCGAGCGCGAGCACGAACACGATTGACGAACCGACGACGGTACACTGGAGTCCTTGAAAACTGAAATCGTGCCCTTCGAAAGAAATCTGCTCGGATCTCGGGATAAGGGAGGGAGAAGGAAAGCCGTCTCTCTCTCTCTCTCCATCATCGCTGGAGCGGCGCGCTCCGTCCTCGTTCCACCAATAGAAACGAGTTGCCCCTCCCTCCCCACCTCTCCTTCCCAAAGAGTATCCTTCGTGGAAGGGAGAGGCGGGATAATCTGGACGGATTTTTACAGCGAGAATTGTGTATATATATACATATATATATAATGTGTACCTCCATCATGCGAGACGTCCTTTAACGACGTCTCTTTTTATGCCTCTCTAGGGATTTACCTGTCGGCGGGCAACGCGTTTCGAAAATTTCACGCAGGTCTCGGAAAAACTTCCAAGCACGAAAATTTTGAGCGAAAAGCGCAAAGGATACCATAAATCGACTGCATAGAATGCGAGAATGTTGACAGAATGACACGAAAATCGATTTTAATACATTTCTTAGTATTGTCTGAAAGGAAACCGTTTCGTTTCTACGTGTTTCAAAGGGATCGTTTCGTGATCCTTCCAAGAATAGCATTGTTATAAGGCACTTCAGGTATTGAGACGATTTCTGCCGTTCTGACAAACGGGTCTCGCATCCGTTAACATCCGTTCACGAATTCAAATTTAAGAATATTCAAGTATTTGCCATGTGGCAAACAAATCACATTTTAAAGATAAATCGATATGTATATTATTCCTTATAAAATTTATAAATTTATAATTTATATTAAATTAATAAAATTTATGATTTAATGAGATAAAAAGCAGTTTTTTATATTTCATATTTCAATTAATAAGAAATATCTTAAAGCTATATATTGTTATCTTTTATACAAATTTAATCAAATCAATAAAGATAAAAACTCACCTTTGGTGGTCTAGTTTCGGTACAGCCATACATGCTAAGCATATCATCGTTTTCACTATAATGTTCACATGTAAGGCACAATACATGAAAAAGCTCAAACTATTTTTAATTATGTTTGTCCATTCAAAGCAAAATAAAGGCGATTTTGTAAAATATTAAAGGATACGTATCTCTATTTGCACTAAATCCTTGTTTATCCATACTTTGTTTTCTATTTGTATTATTTCCCATGGTTAGGTCATGCAATTTATAATCCTTTTTCAAGATTGTGTTTTCCATCTTAATGAGACTGCCAAGAGTAGGATCAATGTCATTGTTGTTATTGACACAAAAAGTAAGCCACAATTCCGTAAGCTTCTCCACATCCACATTGTAAGATTCGCAAAGTTCGAAACCTACACAGATACATAAGTCATTAATTCCAATCGTATCAACTATTCAATTGAAATGTCAAGAGACAAAATTTCGAACATTTTTAATATATAAAATATAATCAACATAAAGTGTCAACACTAATATTTTAGTTGATTTAGACCAAGTTTTATTAACATTGTCTAAGCTTAATTTTGATTTAATTTCCATAATTCTTGTCTTTACAAAATTAGAGTTAAAGAAAAACATATTTATTTAACATTACTGATATTCTCTCTCTTGGAAATCTTTTAAATTGTAAATAGCTAAGATTTGTCAGTCTTAAAGTAAGGTTATATGAGGCTAAAGAGAAATAAAATCTGTGCATCCTTTTTGTGTTATATATAAAATAATCATTTTATAAAAACAGGTATATACATTCCTTTGATGTCGTTCAAGGATGTAATTTTAAACTTGTAAAATTTAATTTTCAACAATTTTTGCGTTCGTTATCAAATCAACATCATAAAGCGCGGGATCGTAATTTTAGGGAAAAAGATTATTGATAATTTTATGAATTATATAGGATCGAAGGAAAGTGCTTACATTTATCGAGAATGGCATCGCTTTCGACTTTACAGCCCAAGTCTTGGAACAAATTCCGCAGAGAATCCTTCCTTTCCATCTTGCACGCAGTTACACTTACCGCTCTCGTCCACTCTTGCCGCCAAAACTCGACAGGTTCAAAGTTCAAACCATAGATACGATAGTTGTATAGTTTCACAACTCCCTGTAAATATCTTATTAGCCAAAATAAAATGCGCATGCGCGAAATAAGTGAATCGATCAACGGTGTATTCAAACTTCTTTCTCTTTTTCCTAATTAAATAAAAAATATAGGGCATGTTTGTAATTAATTATGCTATATATTATATGTGAAATTAATATAGAATAAAAATATTAAAAATCTCGATTTTTCAGATATTTAAATAATCAAATTTAAACCATAAGTTTTAGTGTTTTATGTGTGTTGATTATTTAATTTGTTTACAAATAAATTATCCTGTGTATATATATGAAAGCGCATATATAAATTTACAAATATTTATTGTATTCTTAGAATAGAGAATCGTGTATATGTATATATTTTTAGTACAATTATATTCTTATATGTTCCATACAAACTCGAAATATTTTTGCTTTTAAATGCATTTTTTCTCATATTCGCAATGCACATTTAGCGCTAAATATAGCTATTCAAGTTTCATTTAAATTGTATGTGTACAAAATTTCACATGTTAGAAAAATATATAAAACTTAGCATATCAAGGGCAAATAGTATTTAGCGATAATCATGCTAGACATAATATCATTTTGTTCATACAATAACTATTCGCGTGTGGATATAACTTTATAAATAGTTAAACTTTTGCACGCAGTATATATAATTGTTAATCTATAGAAATAAAGTATTACAGAACTCAATATTTTTAAATACTGTAATATGTTTTAGCTCCATATGAATAATAAATATGAAGACGCTGCTCGCGGAATTTTTAAAATTTCAACAATTGAATTCACAGATACAGGTGCTCTGATTAATTATTTGTCGATACAAAATGATGTTTATCTTTATTCCAAAGCTCTATTAGTGTTTGAGATGTGTCTAAATTTGGAAATCTCTCTATCCACGATTGAATAAGTCCTGTAAATGAGGATTCATAATTCTTCAGCACCACATTATTAGAATCAAAACCTGAAACAAATAAAAAAATTAGAATTAAAAAAAAATTATTCGCAATAATTAACAATAGGTATACATATATAATTTAGATAGTGTGTGTGTGTGTGTGTGTGTGTGTGTGTGTGTGTGTGTGTATATATATATGTTTAAAGAATTATCTAAAGACAAGCAAAAAGCATGTCTTAATTTTGAGATATAGTTATTAATTTTCTATTTTATACGCACCATCAATAAATGTATTTGATTGAACAAAGATCTTCCTTGGCTCTTTGCGAGACAGAATTATGCTCCTCCAGCGAGCCCATGGATGTGGTCCATTTTCAGGCACTTCGCTATATCTGTCATACATTTCCTTAGCTGACTCAATGTCTCCCATACTCTTATAAACTTGCAATTTTAAGAGAAAATCTCCAATAGCTTTTTTACCGACCGTGAAGATCTTACTTCGATCTACAGTCATTAAAAGATTCTTTCCTTCTTCGGTTTCAACAACATTAACAAAATCCTGTCCTGCTTCTAGGCACACTCTAAGCAAAACATAGCGTGCTTGAGCGTGAGCTTGCGACCATGTCCCAGTGGATGGTTGATACATCTCAAAGGCCTTGGCAAAACCAGCCCACAACAGAGACAACCAGTTCACATAGACTATGTCATCTGCTTCAGATCCTTCATAACCAAATATATCCAACACTTCCTTTTCCAAGCTCAAATAAAGACCGACCGCCTCTGCCCTACATTCCTCGTACGAAGATCCCATAGCACCAAATTTGGAGTCGTAGGTCTCTCCTTTTAGAAAGTACTTATTTATCTTTTTTCCATTTAGAGGATTCTTTACGCTGTCGCGATCGAAATTGAAGCTATTCGAGTCTATCTGTTTGAAATATTTACCGGTACCATGGCCGAGAAGCTCGTGTAAACCAACTTGCACTTCGAAACTAGTTATTCTATACTTGTGCATTAACGCTTGGTCGGTTTCAGACAGAAACGGAATTATGCTGATGTCCTTCATATGCGCGGGTAAAACGTTTCCTAAAGATACATTTTTAAAACCTTCCGATTGCCTGATTTCATCGTAATTTGGAATATTTATTCCCGCTGGAATACAAGAACCTGCGAACGTCAGAATATCCAAGGAGGTAAAGTCCGGCCTCAAAAATGTGTCTTTCTCAAAATCGCTATTCCATGGTAATTTAGGAATCAATTCTTCAGCTCTGTTAACCAATGTAGCGAATTTCGCAGACATTTCTCTATTTACCATTGCCACGAAACCCTCAAATTCTCCTCGTTGACCTGCCGGGTCTCTATATGTTTCAATGAAGCCGATGTAAGTTTCGATAGCTGGTCCTTTATCCTTTATCCAAAGACGAGAACCATTTTTATGATCATTCAAAGATCCTGTTCTAAAATGATCAATGTACTTATCCAACATATCTTTCTCAATCTGATTGGATGCATATTCTTTGGCTTTTTTGAGGTTCTCCACAACAGGCACCAAAAGTTTACTATAATCTCCTCTCGTGATTTTAAATCTAGCATTTTCAAATGTTTCTTCGGGTAGCGTTATTTTAGGATCATCTGAAGTCTCCACAGATGCCAGCTTGATCTCATATAAATCAATGGATTTATCATTAGCTGCAGGATCGTGTATTGTTGTCTTGAAGCATCTTGCATTATAGGATTCTAGTCCCTTATGTTCCATAAATGCATTAACTTTATCTGCATCCTCTTTAGTACAGTTTGCAGAGAAATAAGTTGTGATACCTTTATCATTTAATCCTAATGACTTCAACTTGCCATCTAAGGAATATAGGGCATTTGATATATTGTCCCAAATATCATGTATCTCTGTGGAATTATCCTTATAGGCTTTTGAAGCTTTCACTATTGTTTCAAATGCATTTTTAGGAAGATTGGGAATAATTTTGGTATCACCCATAGCTTTGTAATTTCCTGCATTAGCAAATATTCCACAACTGTAAACTAGAAAAGCCTAAAAAAAAAAAAAGTATTCCATCATATTTTATAATTAATAATTTATAATAATTTTATAATAACATATTTTATAATAACATAATTTTATAATAACATATTTATTTAATAATTTAATAACAAAGAAAAAATGGTGAAAAAGGCAACATAAAAAGATATGCTAAAAAAATTCTTTTACCGTAAATTCATCTTCAGTAACATTGGCACATGTGGCAGCATTTTTCAATTCATCGATAGGTTCTGCTAGATAAATCTTGTGTAACAATGCAAATATCAATGGCGATTCTGGCGATGTTTGTATCAATACTATTAACCCTCCGTTCCACGCTGCTTGACTCAAATAATGGGCATATAATTTCTCATTTTGTGTCAAAGTTTTAAATGCAGTTTCACATTCTACTGTAACAACAGGCTGATTGTTGGGTAATGTATATAAAGTAATATCCACACTCATTGTCGAATATGCTTGCTTCTTACTAGAAAACAAAAAAAATTATAAATTTGAAGTTATCTATTAACAATATATTGCCTCAAATACAAATTCTTATCTATAATAAGCAACACAAATATTGCAAAAATAAATACACTTAATAATATTATTGGAAGTGCTATTCAACTATACTGCTACTGATGTACTCAAGAAAGAAATTTAGAAATCGGTGCATAATTTCCTGAAGATAAAGTTTTTGAAATTATATACATGTGAAAATTTGTTCTTGTGTTATTTATTATAATGTTTATTTGTAACAATAGAAAAGAAAGTGACAAAGTAATTTTTTGTATTTACAACTTTGGAACTCGCTGAAGATAAATGTATGTTAAAAGTACGTTATTAATAAGATATCACTTTTTTTTTATATAACGAGATGTCTAATTTGATATTCATATCGCACAGATATCACACACCACGAGTATCGTTTGCCACCTGACAATAAATTCTTGGCTTGCGTTCTTCTGCTTTGTACAATGGTTTCTATACAATTTGCTCGAGTAACTTTCGCGACGTATGGCAACGTAAGGTATGATCGCTTGCAGTTGGTGACAGCGATTGATCTGAGTGTATTTAAAACTTGTAACTTTAACATAATAGACACCTATATGTCAAGAGTTCTAAAGTATTAATCAAAAAAATGTGACGTAATGGAGTGATATATATGTTTACTTCGAGTGGTTATTTAATTTGCATGCCTTTCCCGTAAAATATGATAAATATTTTGATCACTTTTGAGTATCGCTACCAATAGGCATAACAAGAATGATATGAATGTAATTTCAAAAGGTTTTGAACTATTTTCCATTTACTTACCAAATTAAATAGGTAACAAAGGTAGAAGGCGAGAAGGCAGAAAGAAGATTGGCCAGAGCTTTAACAAGCTTTTTATATTAATCGGTAGATCGAGAAAGATAAGATAAACTCGTTTCAAAGATGCCTTAGGTATCATAAATGTATTCTTGTTACTATGCGGTCACTTTTCGAAAGAACGTATCGTGTCTAGATATTTTTTATGAATCGAGGCTATTTGAAATAATGCCTTATCATTTTATCATCTAGGAATTTTTATATTAAATATGCATTGAAATACTTGTGCATCATGATTGATTAAAAAAATGCAGAACAATATTTTTATGTATTAATTAATTTCACGTTGTAAAACATATATATGCTTTAAAAAAAAATTTCTTTCATTTTAAATTGCAGTCGAGCAAATCCTCCATTCTCAATTTCTTCTCCGAGTTCTGAAACATATTTTAATTAATCAGACGATTTAATTTATGTAAAAAGCAACAGAAATCCATCCGAGAAATAATTCTTTCTCTGACTTTAATTTTCTCTCAGAGAGAATGAGAGAAACCTGAGAGCGACCATCGCGCTTCAGCAGACGCATGTTCTGATGCGCCCCCTGAGAAAGTGGATATAAACTAAGTTGTTACACTCGGTAACAAACGTAATAAATGGTTCATGTCCATGATATGGTTCGTATCCGGACTACTCAGATATACTACTATGGCTGCGGTCGGGAAGATGCTTTGAAACATCATTCTATCAGAGAGAAGACTGAGAGGTGTCATGGCTCGCTTTTAGGTGATCCCTGAAAGCGATACGCCCTCTGTTAATCTAAAAAACGTAGACATGAACTACAAAGCCAAATCCACGAAAGTTCTCAGAGGATAACATATATGTGCACAATTTCTGATTCTGTTCCGTGCTATGTAAAAAATGCCTGTAGTACACGAAATGCCATCAGTGCTGTATAGCAAAACGCATATGTATATAAATATAAATAAATTTTTAATTTTAATTTTTTAAATAAATTTTGTGGTCCTCTCTCTCTCTCTCTCTACACATACCAAATAAACACACACACATATAATATATATATATGTAATACACATATAATATATATATATATATATATATATATATATATATATATATATATACATGTTCTCCTAATAACGCAAGCGTGAAAATTTTCGAAAATTCGTTTCTTATTATTTTATATTATCAGGAGAATATATTTTGCGAGGAGGTCGATGATGCGTTGATGATCTCTTTACAAATCATGTTCTCCTAATAACGCAAGCGCGAAAATTTTCGAAAATTCGTTTCTTATAATTTATATTATCAGGAGAATATATTTTGCGAGGAGGTCGATGATGCGTTGATGACCTCTTTACAAATCATGTTCTCCTAATAACGCAAGCGTGAAAATTTTCGAAAATTCGTTTCTTATTATTTTATATTATCAGGAGAATATATTTTGCGAGGAGATCGATGATGCGTTGATGACCTCTTTACAAATCATGTTCTCCTAATAACGCAAGCGTGAAAATTTTCGAAAATTCGTTTCTTATTATTTTATATTATCAGGAGAATATATTTTGCGAGGAGGTCGATGATGCGTTGATAACCTCTTTACAAATCATGTTCTCCTAATAACACAAGCGTGAAAATTTTCGAAAATTTGTTTCTTATTATTTTATATTATCAGGAGAATATATTTTGCGAGAAGGTCGATGATGCGTTGATGACCTCTTTACAAATCATGTTCTCCTAATAACGCAAGCGTGAAAATTTTCGAAAATTCGTTTCTTATTATTTTATATTATCAGGAGAATATATTTTGCGAGGAGGTCGATGATGCGTTGATGACCTCTTTACAAATCATGTTCTCCTAATAACGCAAGCGTGAAAATTTTCGAAAATTCGTTTCTTATTATTTTATATTATCAGGAGAATATATTTTGCGAGGAGGTCGATGATGCGTTGATGACCTCTTTACAAATCATGTTCGCCTAATAACGCAAGCGTAAAAATTTTCGAAAATTCGTTTCTTATTATTTTATATTATCAGGAGAATATATTTTGCGAGGAAGTCGATGATGCGTTGATGACCTCTTTACAAATCATGTTCTCCTAATAACGCAAACGTGAAAATTTTCGAAAATTCGTTTCTTATAATTTATATGATCAGGAGAATATATTGTGCGAAGAGGTCGATGTTGCGTTGATGACCTCTTTACAAATCATGTTCTCCTAATAACGCAAACGTGAAAATTTTCGAAAATTCGTTTCTTATTATTTTATATTATCAGGAGAATATATTTTGCGAGGAGGTCGATGATGCGTTGATGACCACTTTACAAATCATGTTCTCCTAATAACGCAAACGTGAAAATTTTCGAAAATTCGTTTCTTATTATTTTATATTATCAGGAGAATATATTTTGCGAGGAGGTCGATGATGCGTTGATGACCTCTTTACAAATCATGTTCTCCTAATAACGCAAACGTGAAAATTTTTGAAAATTCGTTTCTTATTATTTTATATTATCAGGAGAATATATTTTGCGAGGAGGTCGATGATGCGTTGATGACCTCTTTACAAATCATGTTCTCCAAATAACGCAAGCGCGAAAATTTTGGAAAATTCGTTTCTTATAATTTATATGATCAGGAGAATATATTTTGCGAGGAGGTCGATGATGCGTTGATGACCTCTTTACAAATCATGTTCTCCTAATAACGCAAGCGCGAAAATTTTCGAAAATTCGTTTCTTATAATTTATATTATCAGGAGAATATATTGTGCGAGGAGGTCGATGATGCGTTGATGATCTCTTTACAAATCATGTTCTCCTAATAACGCAAGCGCGAAAATTTTCGAAAATTCGTTTCTTATAATTTATATTATCAGGAGAATATATTGTCCGAGGAGGTCGATGATGCGTTGATGACCTCTTTACAAATCATGTTCTCCTAATAACGCAAGCGCGAAAATTTTCAAAAATTCGTTTCTTATAATTTATATGATCAGGAGAATATATTTTGCGAGGAGGTCGATGATGCGTTGATGATTTCTTTACAAATCATGTTCTCCTAATAACGCAAACGAGAAAATTTTCGAAAATTCGTTTCTTATAATTTATATTATCAAGAGAATATATTTTGCGAGGAGGTCGATGATGCGTTGATGACCTCTTTACAAATCATGTTCTCCTAATAACGCAAGCGTGAAAATTTTCGAAAATTCGTTTCTTATTAATTTATATTATCAGGAGAATATATTTTGCGAGGAGGTCGATGATGCGTTCATGACCTCTTTACAAATCATGTTCTCCTAATAACGCAAGCGCGAAAATTTTCGAAAATTCGTTTCTTATATTTTATATTATCAGGAGAATATATTTTGCGAGGAGGTCGATGATGCGTTGATGACCTCTTCACAAATCATGTTCTCCTAATAACGCAAGCGTGAAAATTTTCGAAAATTCGTTTCTTATAATTTATATGATCAGGAGAATATATTGTGCGAGGAGGTCGATGATGCGATGATGATCTCTTTACAAATCATGTTCTCCTAATAACGCAAGCGTGAAAATTTTCGAAAATTCGTTTCTTATTATTTTATATTATCAGGAGAATATATTTTGCGAGGAGGTCGATGATGCGTTGATGACCTCTTTACAAATCATGTTCTCCTAATAACGCAAGCGTGAAAATTTTCGAAAATTCGTTTCTTATTATTTATATTATCAGGAGAATATATTTTGCGAGGAGGTCGATGATGCGTTGATGACCTCTTTACAAATCATGTTCGCCTAATAACGCAAGCGTGAAAATTTTCGAAAATTCGTTTCTTATAATTTATATGATCAGGAGAATATATTGTGCGAGGAGGTCGATGATGCGATGATGATCTCTTTACAAATCATGTTCTCCTAATAACGCAAGCGTGAAAATTTTCGAAAATTCGTTTCTTATTATTTTATATTATCAGGAGAATATATTTGCGAGGAGGTCGATGATGCGTTGATGACCTCTTTACAAATCATGTTCTCCTAATAACGCAAGCGTGAAAATTTTCGAAAATTCGTTTCTTATTATTTTATATTATCAGGAGAATATATTTTGCGAGGAGGTCGATGATGCGTTGATGACCTCTTTACAAATCATGTTCTCCTAATAACGCAAGCGTAAAAATTTTCGAAAATTCGTTTCTTATTATTTATATTATCAGGAGAATATATTTTGCGAGGAAGTCGATGATGCGTTGATGACCTCTTTACAAATCATGTTCTCCTAATAACGCAAACGTGAAAATTTTCGAAAATTCGTTTCTTATAATTTATATGATCAGGAGAATATATTGTGCGAAGAGGTCGATGTTGCGTTGATGACTCTTTACAAATCATGTTCTCCTAATAACGCAAACGTGAAAATTTTCGAAAATTCGTTTCTTATTATTTTATATTATCAGGAGAATATATTTTGCGAGGAGGTCGATGATGCGTTGATGACCACTTTACAAATCATGTTCTCCTAATAACGCAAACGTGAAAATTTTCGAAAATTCGTTTCTTATTATTTTATATTATCAGGAGAATATATTTTGCGAGGAGGTCGATGATGCGTTGATGACCTCTTTACAAATCATGTTCTCCTAATAACGCAAACGTGAAAATTTTTGAAAATTCGTTTCTTATTATTTTATATTATCAGGAGAATATATTTTGCGAGGAGGTCGATGATGCGTTGATGATCTCTTTACAAATCATGTTCTCCTAATAACGCAAGCGCGAAAATTTTCGAAAATTCGTTTCTTATAATTTATATTATCAGGAGAATATATTGTGCGAGGAGGTCGATGATGCGTTGATGACCTCTTTACAAATCATGTTCTCCTAATAACGCAAGCGCGAAAATTTTGGAAAATTCGTTTCTTATAATTTATATGATCAGGAGAATATATTTTGCGAGGAAGTCGATGATGCGTTGATGACCTCTTTACAAATCATGTTCTCCTATTATCGCAAGCGTGAAAATTTTCGAAAATTCGTTTCTTATTATTTATATTATCAGGAGAATATATTGTGCGAGGAGGTCGATGATGCGTTGATGATCTCTTTACAAATCATGTTCTCCTAATAACGCAAACGCGAAAATTTTCGAAAATTCGTTTCTTATAATTTATATTATCAGGAGAATATATTTTGCGAGGAGGTCGATGATGCGTTGATGACCTATTTACAAATCATGTTCTCCTAATAACGCAAGCGTGAATATTTTCCAAAATTCGTTTCTTATTATTTTATATTATCAGGAGAATATATTTTGCGAGGAGGTCGATGATGCGTTGATGACCTCTTTACAAATCATGTTCTCCTTATAACGCAAGCGTGAAAATTTTCGAAAATTCGTTTCTTATTATTTTATATTATCAGGAGAATATATTTTGCGCGGAGGTCGATGATGCGTTGATGACCTCTTTACAAATCATGTTCTCCTAATAACGCGAGCGCGAAAATTTTCGAAAATTCGTTTCTTATAATTTATATTATCAGGAGAATATATTTTGCGAGGAGGTCGATGATGCGTTGATGATCTCTTTACAAATCATGTTCTCCTAATAACGCAAGCGCGAAAATTTTCGAAAATTCGTTTCTTATAATTTATATTATCAGGAGAATATATTGTGGGAGGAGGTCGATGATGCGTTGATGACCTCTTTACAAATCATGTTCTCCTAATAACGCGAGCGCGAAAATTTTCGAAAATTCGTTTCTTATAATTTATATTATCAGGAGAATATATTTTGCGAGGAGGTCGATGATGCGTTGATGATCTCTTTACAAATCATGTTCTCCTAATAACGCAAGCGCGAAAATTTTCGAAAATTCGTTTCTTATAATTTATATTATCAGGAGAATATATTGTGCGAGGAGGTCGATGATGCGTTGATGACCTATTTACAAATCATGTTCTCCTAATAACGCAAGCGTGAATATTTTCGAAAATTCGTTTCTTATAATTTATATTATCAGGAGAATATATTTTGCGAGGAGGTCGATGATGCGTTGATGACCTATTTACAAATCATGTTCTCCTAATAACGCAAGCGTGAATATTTTCGAAAATTCGTTTCTTATTATTTTATATTATCAGGAGAATATATTTTGCGAGGAGGTCGATGATGCGTTGATGACCTCTTTACAAATCATGTTCTCCTTATAACGCAAGCGTGAAAATTTTCGAAAATTCGTTTCTTATTATTTTATATTATCAGGAGAATATATTTTGCGCGGAGGTCGATGATGCGTTGATGACCTCTTTACAAATCATGTTCTCCTAATAACGCGAGCGCGAAAATTTTCGAAAATTCGTTTCTTATAATTTATATTATCAGGAGAATATATTTTGCGAGGAGGTCGATGATGCGTTGATGATCTCTTTACAAATCATGTTCTCCTAATAACGCAAGCGCGAAAATTTTCAAAAATTCGTTTCTTATAATTTATATTATCAGGTGAATATATTGTGCGAGGAGGTCGATGATGCGTTGATGACCTCTTTACAAATCATGTTCTCCTAATAACGCAAGCGCGAAAATTTTCGAAAATTCGTTTCTTATAATTTATATGATCAGGAGAATATATTGTGCGAAGAGGTCGATGATGCGTTGATGATCTCTTTACAAATCATGTTCTCCTAATAACGCAAGCGCGAAAATTTTCGAAAATTCGTTTCTTATTATTTTATATTATCAGGAGAATATATTGTGCGAGGAGGTCGATGATGCGTTGATGACCTCTTTACAAATCATGTTCTCCTAATAACTCAAGCGCGAAAATTTTCGAAAATTCGTTTCTTATAATTTATATGATCAGGAGAATATATTGTGCGAAGAGGTCGATGATGCGTTGATGACCTCTTTACAAATCATGTTCTCCTAATAACGCAAGCGTGAAAATTTTCGAAAATTCGTTTCTTATTATTTTATATTATCAGGAGAATATATTTTGCGAGGAGGTCGATGATGCGTTGATGACCTCTTTACAAATCATGTTCTTCTAATAACGCAAGCGTGAAAATTTTCTAAAATTCGTTTCTTATTATTTTATATTATCAGGAGAATATATTTTGCGAGGAGGTCGAAGATGCGTTGGTAACCTCTTTACAAATCATGTTCTCCTAATAACGCAAGCGTGAAAATTTTCGAAAATTCGTTTCTTATTATTTTATATTATCAGGAGAATATATTTTGCGAGGAGGTCGATGATGCGTTGATGACCTCTTTACAAATCATGTTCTCCTAATAACGCAAGCGTGAAAATTTTTGAAAATTCGTTTCTTATTATTTTATATTATCAGGAGAATATATTTTGCAAGGAGGTCGATGATGCGTTGATGACCTCTTTACAAATCATGTTCTTCTAATAACGCAAGCGTGAAAATTTTCTAAAATTCGTTTCTTATTATTTTATATTATCAGGAGAATATATTTTGAGAGGAGGTCGAAGATGCGTTGGTAACCTCTTTACAAATCATGTTCTCCTAATAACTCAAGCGTGAAAATTTTCGAAAATTCGTTTCTTATTATTTTATATTATCAGGAGAATATATTTTGCGAGGAGGTCGATGATGCGTTGATGACCTCTTTACAAATCATGTTCTCCTAATAACGCAAGCGTGAAAATTTTCGAAAATTCGTTTCTTATTATTTTATATTATCAGGAGAATATATTTTGCGAGGAGGTCGATAATGCGTTGATGACCTCTTTACAAATCATGTTCTCCTAATAACGCATTTAAAAATAAAAAAAAAAATATTTCGCGAACAATTAATGTTCGAAATAATTTACGCATTGCCATCCGCGTTTTGTGGGCTCTTAATGCTCTTTACTTAATTATCATGTTGATAAATACATTGAGCCGTATTATTTACCTATTTATTTTGAAAAATATTTATTTCATCTTTGAATATTACAGTATCTGTCGCGATTGAATAATTTATTTATTATCAATTTACACACATAATTATTTAATTGTTATATAGCGCTACCGGCATTTCGTGCACATAGCACGGAACAAAACCAGAAATTGTGCAATTATATATTACCCTCTGAGAACATTCATGGACTTTGATTTTGTAGTTCATGTCCATGTTTTGAATGTCCATAGAGGGAGTATCACGTTTGTGGTCACTCCATAGCTTGGACATGAACCATAGCTCAGACACGAACCATGTATTATTATCGACTGAAATGGATATAGTTGACGTCCACTTTGTCAGGGAGCGCATTAGGACAATATACCCGTTAAAGCGAGGTGGACGCTCTCAGGTTTCTCTCTGGTAGAACTAGTCAACTTACTTATTTCGCGCATGCGCACTCCATTTTGGCCAACACAAAATCGGGAGAGATGCGCTACTGGATATACTATGTCGATGGTTTAAACTCATAAATTCCTCTTGAGTATTAAAAAAATTGTGTTGCTAGTGAGAATACATATAATATATATATTATACTTTAGATAAATCATGATCAAACTCATTATAAATTTTTAAAAAATTTCTTCTATATAAAATTCATAAATTTATAAAATATTAGTATTTTATTATAAATTCTATATTATTGAAAATATTTGCTGTATTTATATCTTTAAAAAATAACAATTGAGTTCTTATATTTATATGATAAAAAATTTGGAAATCAGAGTTATCATTAAAAATTTAATAATTCAAATTTCGAAAATATGGAAAGCAGAGTGAAGCTGGACTATGCAGTTAATGAAAAAAGAGAAATCGCAGCAAAATAGATTACGAAAAAAGGAAAATTCAAGATGACTTAAATTAATAATATAGAAATAAATTGCAATCATTATAATGCGTTGAACAACGTTAAACTTCAGATTGTTATTAATGAATGAGATGAAACCAAACAGAAATATAGTGAAAACGGAAAGAAATTGCAGGAAAAGGAAAGCAGGAAAAAAAATCAGCAAAAAGAAACAGAAAAGAAATTCAGCTATTTTAACTGATCGGAGAAATTCAATGAGATGGATACAAATAATCTGAAAAATCCTGAAATATGAAGCAATAGCCTTTATTAAATAAGATTAAGAAAAATCCAGATGTAGATACAAGTTTCTTACCAGATAGAGAAAGAGAGGAGGAAGAAAATAAACTAAGGGAGGAATTAAGACAAGAATGGGCTAGAAAACAGAATGCACTGAAGGAAGAAGAGATTGAAATTACATTCAGCTATTGGGATGGATCTGGTCATCGTCGAAGTGTTATAATGAAGAAAGGTAAACATCCTAATATATAAAAAGTTTTAATATTAAAACAATATCTAAAAAAATTCTTAAAACAATATCTAATATATGTATATATGCGTATGTTGTATATGTATGTAACAATTATAGACTGCCGATGGAGTATTACCATTAGTAACATTTTTATAATCTTTTTATACAGTTCTCTTTCCATCATTTTTGAGAAGCATAGTAGTATCATATAATGAATTCTATTGCAAATAAATTTTTTTTCTTCTGCAGGTAATTCTATTTATCAGCTTCTTCAAAGATGTTTGGAAGTATTAAGGCGTGAATTTAGTGAACTTAAAACAGTAATGGCAGATCAATTAATGTATGTTAAAGAAGATCTTATTTTGCCACATCATTACACATTCTACGATTTCATTGTAACTAAGGTAAGAGTATTTGTAGATATAGATATATATAGATTCATAAAACAATATTACAACTTCCATCTTATTTATATGTGATTAGGCACGAGGCAAGAGCGGGCCCTTATTTACATTTGACGTTCACGATGATATTAGAGTTATGCATGATGCTTCTGTTGAAACTGAGGAATCACATGCTGGAAAAGTATTACTCAGGTATTTATTTATTATTAAAATATTTATTTAATTGCATTAGTGTTTTTATTTTCATTTATATATTTTACATAATGAAATTTTTTTAAATATTTTTAGATCATGGTACGAAAGAAATAAACATATCTTTCCAGCGAGTAGATGGGAACCTTTTGATCCAACAAAAAGTTATGACAAATATACAGTATCAGATAAAAATAAAAAGAAAGATAAAATTTGATAGTTTGTTTTGCTGGATCATTTAACATAAAACAAGAATATTTATCATATTCTCTTACATTCAATTTTTAGTTTGGATGCACAAATGAATATTCGTACAACATTAATTTTACAATTGTGCATAGATAGCTTTTTTCTAGATCAATAATTCCTTATAATATTGTAAAATATATGTATATATCTATAGCGATATATTTTGATTTTGTGATTTAATTTATTTATTCATGTATATAATATATTTATATATTACAAAATTTATGAGGTTTATCAACAGGAAAAAAATAAAGATTTTAATCATTTAAATATGATTATGTAATCAGTATAAAAATATAAAACAGTATTTATCTATTTAACAAAAGTCAGGAAATATATGATGTTAATCCATGATAGGCATCGTGGCAATGGATAAATGCAATGTATTGATAATAATCATGTACTATTGGTGGTAGGCTTGATACAAGCTGGATCCATGTATGTAACATTTTCGGGAAAGTGATCCATTATAATGAACTTCTTCTCAGTTGATTTGTTCAGACTTTCAAGAAATCCAAACCAATAAATAACAAGTCCAGATCCGAATCTATTCCAATAACTCAAGAACTGTTCCTTTATATACTTTTGATGAACTTCCACATTGCCAAATCGAGCCTTAGATTCAATCCAATTTATTACACAGCCATTCACTGCAATTGGAACTTCCAGCTTGATGTCTGGAGTCTTATCATATCCTCGTAATCGTAAATGTTCCTCATTACGGAATGCAATATTTCTTTGTATTAAACAATCTTGAAGTTTTATTTCATATTCTTGTCCTATACAACTGAAAAAATAAATGTAATCTTTCTATGTAATGATGTATGTTAAAATCCATTGTAAATCTGAGAATTAATCAGCTTTTATTTTGTGTTCCGCAATTTAGTAGTAATAATTATGCCACAATTTTATATACAAAATTGACAAACAAAAATATAGAGCAAGTGTCAGAATTTTTAATAAAAATTTAAAATATTATATAATTTACTTTCTTTAAAATGAAGATAAAAGTTTTTTTTATTGAAGATTGATAAATAAACATTTAATTCTATTTAACAAGAAAATTATATAGTTATATACTTTCTAACTGCAATGAAGGATACTTACATCCCCATAGCATCAGCTATAGGACCGTACAAATCGTCATATAATATACACTGAAAAGAAAACATTAAATCATGAATTTTTTTAAAAATGTTAATTCCTTTCAAAGTATTTAAATTAATAACTTATATTGTAATTAAATATATTAGATTTGCTAAAATACAAAATCATCAAAATAAAGTATGTAATACACCCTTATACTTTTTATGAGACACTATATTATTTCTTAAATTGATTACCAGGTAAATTTCATATGCAAGATCTTTATCTCCGATGAGTGTAGTATCCTTAAACAGCTTAGTAATTACATTTTTTGACACTGAAATATAATATATTTAATATATTTTTATTTCTAACTCAAAGTTTATTAATTATTTTGTATGGCTTATTCTCTATTATCATTAATTATTACTATATACCATTTGCATTATTACACACACAGTATTTCTCCAAAACATTACGTGCTAATAAGGCTGGTGCAGCATCAATATTTTTTGCCATTCTCAATAAAATACCTGTTGGTTCTCCATTCTGTACTGCCTCCAAATAACTAAAATTTGTAAAAAAAAAACACAATATAAATATGAGATCATTGCAATTTAAAAAATTATATTTTTCTGAAAAAATACTTATACAAAAATCTACAATGATCTTATTAAACTCAATTTACCTGTCGTAATAACTTTTATTCCCAAATAATTTAATATGGTTAACCTTCATTTTCTGTTGTATCTCTAAAGATAAAATGCTATGCAATGTATTTGAATGGATGCTGTATAAATAAGAAAAAGAGATTTTTAGTGTTTTAGTATTTTAAAAATCACATATGAACACAGTAGAAATGACATGATTGATGTGTCTAATTGCAAATTATTTATAAATCAAAAAATTATGTTTAAATTTACTATTTATTTTTTTACTGATACATTATTAAAAAAGAACTTTTTACTCATTATATTTTTCCTTCAGCATTTTGGCACAATCTTTCGACAGCCCTCGAAAATTACGAATTGTCGTTGTAATCTCGTTATACGTCTCGGTCTTCATCATTTATATTATTAACAAGAAAATGTGCTAAAAGTGCATTTATAACATAAACAAGAAAATGTGCTAAAATAATAGTATTGTTTATTGTGTTTATCTGGTACTATCAGCTGATTTAGGGCAACTCTTATGTTGAATTCTAAAATTTATTCGAGTAGCTTAGTCTTTGATTGACCAATCAGGAAAAAAAAAATTTATTTCTTTTGCCTTGACTGGCCAATCGAAAGCTACTTTACTTCAAAGAGTAAATTTTAGAACATATTGTAGCAAAGATTTGATTGGTGCCCGTCTATATACTTTATGTCTATGGATATACTGGTTTAAAGGACAAAAACACAATTGTATAAATTATATCGATAATTCGAAATATAAAATAGTTTTATCGTTATGACTCGACAATATTTTTAAGAAATTAGAGAATAGACATTATGGGCTAACATACGAAAAGCTCGTTTATATCATAGACCCGTTTATATAAGACGGATGTCACTGAGGTTATCTAAATGATATTTGTATGATTTCTTTCTCTCTCTCAGCTTTCACATCTGGATAATTTAAAACAGGATCGTTTTCACAAATTATCTAAGGTATATTAACGTATGTACATCACATAATTCTTACTTCGCTCCACACAAAAAATTCTTTTGACATCACTTTAAATTACTCGCAACTGTTGAGATCCACTAAATTCTGAATTTACAGTAGTTGCGCATATGAGTGTGCATATATAAAGAAACAAATTGTTATATATTTTATATATAATGTAATAAATACGCAATATTATATTATAAAAAGAAAGAGAGAAAATGTGTGTGTCTGTTTGTAGAATACTATTAGGACAAAAAGATGCCGGCAATGCTAGTTGGACCACCTCAACGCAATGAACAAATGTGGCAGGCATTAAAAATTCACATTATGAGAGAACGACAACGAAAGAAACAGGGTAAATGAAAAAAATTTTTCTTTCCATTATTAAAAACTTACACCTATTTATCGACATTTGTTTTAATCATTCTAATTTATATATAAAAGCTACTCTTTTCTAGATATATATTGTATTGATCTCTTTCTAAAAATCAACTTTTTTTAGTAACATTTTACATACATATGTTATATCCCAGAACAAGAAGCTGATGCAGAAGAAGAACGTTTACGTAAGGAAAGAGAGCGACAACAGAAACAAGATGTGATGACACTAGGAGAAACACGAGAACAAATCTCTACCTTGGAGAATGAATTAGCCCAATTAAAAGATGAGAAACATCAGTTGTTTTTACAATTGAAAAAGGTTTTAAATGAGGATGATAGAAGACGACAACTTATAAAGGAAACCAGGTTTATATAATTCTTTGCAGTCTTTGCAAAAGTCATATTCAAGAATAAGATTTGTAAAAAGATTTTATTTTTCAGTGTTTCTTCAGAAGTCTTAACAACAGTAGGAGGATATCCAGCAACAGGTCCAAGAGTGGTACATCCTCAATTATTTTTACCAATAACACGAAGCAGCAGTCCTCTTTACAAAGTTGCAGTTGGTGCTCCAACACATCTGTTACCAAGCGTATGTGTAATGTATACATATATATACTTCATTGTAAAAATCTTATATATTTTGATAATAAAATACTTCATTTATATATCTTAGTTTATAGGTCACCTTAAAAAGGACTCATAGTCCATCACCAAATAAAATACTTCATTTATATATCTTTGTTTATAGGGCACCTTAAAAAGGACTCACAGTCCATCACCACCACCTATTGCATCTCCATACCATAGCGTATATGGATATAAACCACCACCATCCATTCCAAATTACAATCCCCCTCCTCCTAGTGAGTATATAAAAGTCACACTTATTGCCATACATGTATTTTGCAAACAACTGTTTGTATTTCTTTTATTAGCAATAATCCAAATCTAAAAGAAAAGGTTAAGTTAAAATATAACACAAATTAATTTTCACAGACTGCAATCTTTTTACAAAATCTTTAATAATGCATGATGGATTAAACTATTTTATCATATCTGTACTTTCGTAGAATCTGAGGAAGCTGCTAGACGATCTAGTGATTCTCGAGCAGTTCTTTGGAACAGTAAGTGGATGAATTTTTTTACAACTAGTTTTGTGTCATTTTATTTTTGTCAAGAAATATGAGAACGTACACTATTCGTTTTATATTAGCAAATATTTTACTCATCTTGTGTATTTTCTTTTCATTCAACAGAAAATAATCAATATTCCGCGTCGAATTTTTACTCGACGCCTACAGGCCAGAGTGTTTACAGTTATTCTGCACCTGTGTCACAACCGTCCCGAGAATCCTCAGAATCAGCTAAACCTGTTTATCTTTCGGGAGGTAGAGCACCACTAGCTACACATCAGACTGGTAATATTAACTATCAATGTCAATTCTTATATTATTTTACAGAGTATGTAATTCTTAAATTTCTTTCATTGAATAGACATGTATATTTTTTATATTTCTCGTTAAAGATAACGAACTCTATTAAATCTTCATTTTTATAGATTGATATATTTAATAGAAAAACCTAAAAGAAAGCACAAACTAATTGAAAGAATAAATATATACTACAAAGATTTTCGGTTTTTCTCGATATAAAGACTTATATTGAGATATCAAAAAATATTTTATATAAAAGTTTATTCATCAAAATACTTCTAATTAATTACGTCAATAAAATTAAATAAAATTAAAAAAAAATTTTTTTAAAATTAATTTTTGAAAGGAATTCGCAAGGTATCCATATTGGTCTTTTTTCTTCTTCTTTTGTGAGATCAATATAAAGAAGAAAGAGAGAAAATACTGTTATAATCATTATACTTAAAATCAAGATATAAATTCGAAATGAAAAAGATGATCTTGATGAAATAAAAATAATAATTCTATCATTTTATTCTTATTTGATGTATAAAAAACATTTTATTGGACTCCTTGTTAATCACTTCACATTTTATAATATGTGCAATTCTAATATTTAATAGTAGAGCATTATAAAGAGACAGAAGTAATAAAATCTCACAAACTTGTATCCTTTACTTATATAAATTATATATGTTTTACAGCATATGTAACTAATTTACACTCGATGGAACATAAAGGTGCTTATGGTGAGGATAAGTTTTATCTGCGACCGACGAATCATGTTACTGTTCATGGTGGAGCTATTCCGATTCAACAACCACCTCAGGTTATATCTTAAATATTATTATTTCTCCGTATGTTTGAATTTTTTAGAAAAAATAGAAAAAAATAATGCTGATGATTTCAAATAACATACATCTAAAATTTGCAGCTTCTTCATAAATTCCGCATGCACATAATATTCATTATAATAAAATACACTCATAATGAAAAAACTGAAATAACTGTAATTACATATATTTGTATATAATTGAATTTTTATCGTTATCTGTAAATGCAGGGTGCAAAAACAGGAGGAATTACTTCAGGTTATCCTGTACGAGCACCTCAACCACCTCCTGGTCCATATCCACCGGCACCACCACCATCTCCTGGTACTTATGTCAGCGGCGCGGCTGCTAATGTACCTGGTAGACTATTATATACACAACCTGGAGCTCGTTATCTTCAACGAGAAATATAAAAAAATACATGTCTATTCACTGAAAGAAATTTAAGAATCTGATAAAATAATGGAATCATTAATAAGTAGATTTCAAACTGTGCACCATCTATTGTATAATGTTTAACCATCTATCATTGTTGATATCACGACATGTCACTACAAGCAAAGCCGGAAATTTTGATTTTGCAATGAATGAATTTATAAATTATTTATAATTTTTAGTTGGTAATTAAAAAATGATTCTAAAGAATTTCTCACATATATATTCATATAGAATAATTCTCTCATGCAGGTATAAAATATTGCAGTCTAAATGGTAAATTGATAGATATGAATTGACAAAGATGAAATATTTATTTTCTAAAATTCTGTAGTTATAATTGCCTCATTTTCATGCTTAAAAAAAGTTAAAAAATAATTTATATACTCTTATTTTTATTTAAAGGAATGAATAACTTTAAATCTGCAAAAATATGAATGCAATAAATTGTGACATATTACTAAAATATAAATAAATTTATTTATATTTATTAAGTAATTTGTCATAAGCAATTTTTATTTTTTTCGAATTTAAACTTATTTTAGTTAATTATTTAACATTTCTTCATTTGATCAAATTCTTCTTCTTAAATCTTCAAATCAAAGTCTTTCAGCATATTTATAATTTACATTTTAGCATACTATACTCTTGGAGGCACGAAGATAAAGTAGATGATTCTTTTCTGTTCTAGCTTTTAGGATAAATTCAGTTGTAAGTTTAGCTATTTTTATTAAAAAAAACTGACGTCCTTCACAACTTTTATAGGAGAATGAATATAAAATATCTATCTTATAAAATTTTATTATGAAATGTATTATCGTCATTTGAAAAATGTATGAAAACAAATTGTATTATAAAATATAATTTTGTCATTTGATAAATGCATGAAAACATATTATGAAACATAATTTTGTCATTTAGTAAAACACTAGTATAATATATATGTAATACACTTATATGAAAAATACTTCCATATTTATATATGTTTATATATATTAGTAAATTAATTTCGGAAATTATTAAGATAATAAAATAATATAAAGGAATATGCTCAATTGTGAAAAATAAAAAGAAAATGTACAAAGAGCAATTATATGTCTCTTCATAATATATGTATTGTAAAAAGGGCAATGTGTCTCTTTTTACAATATATAGTCATAAGCTTTTAGGAATATAATGACTAATAACATTTTGCTTTTAATTATTATGTATAACGAACTTTGGTTTCGTATAATGCTAAAGAAAAACTAAACACGATCAAATAAAAAATTAAATATATAATATGTGCATAAAAATATACTTTATAAAATAAAAAAAGAGAAAATGTAACCGCAATCTTATCTTATTTATTACATATTATAGTCTCATTTTGCTTAGAAGACTCTGCAAATCTTCTCCAAATTCAGTCGTATCTATCATTTGTTGTTTTGTTGTATGTTGCTCCGAACATAAATGTGCACGAAGATCGATAATACCATATACTTCTATTTGACACAATTTGCAGTAAACAGGTGCGATACTTTTCTCGCGCGGATCCCTGTGCATATGATACAAAATATTAATATTATTAATAATTGATTAGACAATTAATACTTAATTAAATTATAAAATAAAAATGGATTACTCAATAGCCTGATATATAACATTATCGAAAAATTTTGTATTATATTAATAATACAAAATAATATGCGATATTATATTTGACTTTAAAACGATTCACAACAGATACATATTATAAATAATAATATGGATGACAACATGATATTAAAAGTTAGTAGACATTTATTACATAGAGATTCAAGAGAAATATAATGAAAATGAATGTACATACTCATAAGCCAGAAATTCCAATTCTAGTAAATGCTTGATTATTTCTTCAAGTTTATCGTTTTTTTCGTTCAACTCTAACGCTTTGTGTAGACGATATATACTACTTTTTCTCAAAGTTTCTCCAGCAGGCTCCAAAAATAGAGTTCCATCATATAAATCCCATTTGTTGAAATTATTAATTATGACTGGATCTTGTGTCTTACGGGGTTTATATATCACTTCCTTGAATGCGTTCTTAATTTGATTCTGGCACTTTATAGTCAGTTCATTTTGAGTCTCTTCGTCTATATGATCGGTTTCATTAAAATGCATTGCGACATTCATCCAGTGGCGCAATTTATTTATCTGTAAAAGAATTTTTATAGAATTAGTATATATTAAAATTGTCTTGATTTTATTTATATACTAAAAAAAAATATTTCTCACAAAAAAAACTACCAGATACTTTATTTAAGTACATTGATATAAAGCTAATAGTATGCATATTGTATAATGCATGAAAACATTGAAATATTTTAAATGATCTACCATTCGCAAATCGTTCATCGTGATTTCGATATCGAATATAATCTGCAAATCGTGCTCCGGAAATAAACTCCTCCCTGTAGAAGGATCAAATCCTAGTCCGCATAAAGCACCCGTGTAATAAGTGCCCAAAGGATTACGTCTTAATTCCATGTACGGCGTAAAAATTAAAGTGATTAATGACGCGAGACCAGGCATATTGGGCAAGAGAGTTGTATTTCGTAAGGTCAAATGCGCAATATTCTTGGCACTTTGACTAATATTTTGCGCTACGAGAATAAATCCTCTTGGATTATCTATACAGGTGTCGAGTAGAACAGAATTCACTGATGTGATATCCACGGTCACAACTTTCGACGTTCCCATGTTCGCTAGATGAACCAATTGAGTTTCTATCGGTGAAAAGGGACCTTGCAATATCACCTTTGAATGATACTCGGATTGTTTTGGTAATTTTGGATATGGCTTTTTATCATACATGTATCGTTTATGCGGCGGTTCTTGCGGATCAGAAGGAGGGAAAACAATTTTTCCGTAATCCTTCGTAAGACCGAGTGTCTCGGCTCGATGACGCGCGTCTATTTCGCTTAACAATTTTATTTCGATTGGAATCCGACATTGTTTCATCTTAAGACAATTTTGAACGAACCAATAATTATCGAGCACGCGATTCTTCCCTTCGTATTCGATGTAAACACGGCTCGATCCATCAAAGGATACCGTTATGTCTTCGTGATTTTCGAGCCTTAAATGCTGTCCGAAGATTTCCTGAAATCTTTTGGAGTACAGCGATCCAGGCTGATGCAACGGCCATCCTCGTAAAATGACGGTATTCATCGGATCGCGGAACGATAGTAGTTTCTCTATATTGTGTTTGTAATTTTCCACTTTGTGTGGAAACTTGACGAAATAGTTTGGATAGAATGCGCCGGCAATTATTATTTTAATTATAAAAGTCCGATCGATATGAAGCTTCTCCCAAGTGCTTTTATTGCATCCCATGGTTTCTGTTATGCCAAAAGGGCGTAATTTCATCGTTAGCTCGGCTATAAAGGCATCGATCTCGCGCAGTGATTTCACGCGGAGACTCTTTCGCTTAGCCCATTCTCTTTCCTCCCGCTGATTAGTTATAAAACGATTCGCTTTATCATTTCGCCATACCTTGAAGGCGTTCAAGCACGCTATGCTGTCACTATCCGATTTAGCGGCCCAATACAGCTTCTCATTATAAGTTGATTCTAATTCGTGAAAATCAATATTGAATATATCTTTGACAGACATAGTGGCTGCGATAATGATCGCGTCTTGCAGAATACTGAAGATATGACCCAAGACAATTAACTTCGATACACGTATGTCTAATGGAAGGGCGGCCATTACACGACCTAGAGACGTCAGCTCTCCGTCAAATTCCTGAAGGTTTTGGCCGCTATCAAATAACGCACCTACTTCCTTCAATAATAACATAGTGTTTCGTAAATTACTTAGATTCGGTGGATCCAGAGAAAGAGCAAGCAGAGCTTTTGGTTCACCCAAGTTTAATATTTTTGTCTTGAGAATTATATTTGCAAGCGGAGTTCTGAGCATTTCCGGAATAGTTTCTTCCGGTAGTACTGTCTGCAATTTTCAGGATAATATAATTATATAATTTAGAAATTGTATTTCCGTATGAGAGAAAATATAGTCGAATTGTTAGAAGTTTATGTTTCATATAAAAAATGAAGCTTACCTCATAGAATGACCTTGGCACCATTCTATATACTCTACCATCCATTAGACGACCTGCGCGACCAGCACGTTGTTGGCAATTTGATTTGCTCGCCCAGCAAAGCTGTAGTTGTTGATAATTGGATCTAGAGTCAGTCATAAGAAGTTTTGTCAAGCAAAAATCAATCACTAAAAACAAAAAAGAGTTAGATAATTTTTTAAATTAAAATAAAAATGACAAGACTTTCAACAGACAAGTATCATTTATTTTCGATTGATGATAATGTACCGTATTTAATGTCTGGCACAGTCACGCTACTTTCAGCGATATTAGTCGATAGTATGATACGTCGGAAATCTTTCGGTGGCTTTTTAAATATGTTTTCTTGGTCTTCAGTTGAGATCAATGAGTGTAAAATAATTATATCCCAGTTCGCATCCGCGTATTTTTTTGATAAAAGCTCAGAACGTAATTCTTCGATTTCAGGCAATCCAGGCAAAAATATTAACACAGCATGTCTTTCATATATACTTTCTGAATCATTACTGTTTTCATCAATACGATCAAAAATGAATATGATACGTGCACAAAATTCAGCCATATCATATGTAAAGCTTGGTGTATCATTGGTTATTTTAGGTATCTATCCAAAAAAAAAAAAAAAACACTTTTCATTAGTCTTCGATTAAAATCATAAGAAAAACCAGGGAGGCGAATTATTTGTTAATAGCATTGATTATATGTATATTCACAGGATAATATCCACTTACAAAAAAATTAGCAAAGTTTGTAAAGATTAATAATTGGAATAAAGATATGCAATAACTTTTGATTTAAGAATTTTGATTAATAAAAAATTCTGTTAACATTTTCTTTTGCTTCATACAAAACAATGATAATGTTTATTCTCAAATACTTGTAGTTAGTAAATGTATACTTACATTACCCAAATTTTCCATTTCATCTATGTAATATATAGAAACGTTGTAAAGGCTACGCTGCGGTATATCAATAATAGGTGCTGACACAAGCTTATTTTCCATAGGTGAGGAAAAATATGTAGCAAATTTATCTACGTCGATTGTCGCAGACATTAATATAACTTTAACTTCCGTAGAATTCGTACGCAATAACTTTTTTACTACAAGCAAAAGAAAATCCATGTCTTCGTCGCGCTCGTGCACTTCATCCAGTATAACATGAGTGTATTCCATCATATGCTTCCTATTTATCAACTTGTGCAAGAGCACACCGGTTGTACAGTACGTTATACGAGTGTCGCGACATATATTCTTTATCAGACCCATTTGATATCCCACGAGCGTACCGACAGGCCATTCTCTTTCCTGGCTGACCCGTTTTGCAATGCTCAAAGCGGCGATACGTCTCGGCTGTGTTACTGTAAAATGCACAGATTTTCATATCAAAATGTTAATAAAATTAAAACAATATTTTGCAATAGCTAAATATTTAAAGAATACAATTTCAATTCAGACAAGACATACCCACAATGTTACAGTGTTGATTTTTTTCAAATGCGGCATCAAGAATAAACTGAGGTACTTGTGTCGTTTTTCCACAGCCTGTGGAACCACGAATAACAACAACAGAATTGCTATCAATCATGCTTACAATTTTATCTCTCATAGAAATAATAGGTAAATTAGTCTTGGGTCGATAAGCAAAGTTGTAGGTTTTATAAATTTGAGCAGTATTTCCTTGTTTAAATCTTTCTTCTTCAAATCCACTGACTTCTGACATATTGTCCAAGAGATTATTTTTATTAAAAATGAGATTATGTTTCACCTATAAAAGAAATGATAGAAAAGACAAAATAATTGCAAAAATGATAACATGATTATATAATTATAGTGCTATATTACCCGTAAATATTCTTCATCACTCTTTTGTCTGTATTCCTTTATGTAATCAGTTTCTGATTCTGTGCTATTTTTGGTATGAGATTCTGCATGAAATAAAACTTTATCATCCCTTACTTCTTTTCGACTAGTAGGACATGGCATCACTATTTTGAAAGGCGTAGTTGATTTGTACATATTCAGGATACTGTCCACCAAATTGTCACTCATTGTTGTAACAATTTATTGACCTGTTTAATTACAGAAAGTTAAAATCATAAAGCTGAGGAAAAGTTTTATAAATTTTTATATTACGTTTTTCAAAAATAATTTATAAAGACAATTTGTCACTAATATCAAATTAAAAAGCATATACTTTTACATTTGTATAATATACACCCATTATACATATATATATATATATATATATATATATATACATATATATATATATATATATATATATATATATATAAAATATATAGAAATACATATAACAAGCATATAATCTATAAAACTACTCTAAAGAGAAGAAATTTTGCGTCTTTTTATATGAGTATATGTTCTAATTTTGCGTCTTTTTATATGAGTATATATTCTAATAAGATTATAATAACATTGTTGGCAAACACAACATTAGAGAAAATATTTGCACATGTACGTTATCGTAATATATTATTTATAAACAATATACAACGATTTACTGATTTACTGACGATGCAAGTACGAGTAAATATGAATTAGAATTTATTTTTCTGCGCCTTTTTTTCTCTGTTTTCTTTCATATACCTTTCCCAAGTTATTTTTGCAAGGTTAGAATACCGTTGTGCCGGCAACAGAAGGTATCGCATTTAAATCTTTCGAGAATCGCAATATCGCTTTTATAAATCATAAAGCAAATTATAGAAGGTGGACCTGATTTGACTTTTCAGATTCAATTGCTAATTGGACGAAGAGATTCTCCTCTTGTTTTCATTGGTCAATCAAGTGATTCCAAGCGTGATATATACATGTCAACGGCAGATGAAGCGCACGCAAAACTGTTTATTCGTTCCACTCTCGTAATCGCGATTGTTTGTGCCTAAAAGTGAATCTCGCGCGCGAAAAGTTATATCACGAGTGGTCTCGATAAAGTGGAATGTTTATCGCGTAAATGCTTCGAACATCGGCTTGCTAGTCGATTCGAATTGCTTCTGAAATAATAATAATGTTGCATCTGAATATAATTCGAATCGCGTCGCGACGATTCGCGAAAGCTGTCACCCAAGTGACAGTTGACGCAAGTCGCGCGTATCCACAAGTAACGCGCACTCCCCGCGAATGTTTTCGTCTCGAAAAGTGAATCCTCTCTCGCGCGCGAAGGATTATTAAAAGTGCTTAGTGAAATAGTGCTGGTGGACGTCGTCGACATCGTGCAATTTTAACAACAATCTATTCCTGTGTTCCTGATATTCGTCGAAGTCGGTCTGGTATATTTCAAGTTTTCATCGACGTGCAACGATGTGCAATTGATGGGATCGTCTAATGTATGTATGCATGTATTATACTACGTATTATTGTTGGATATAATCGTATCTCTCTCAGTATTATATCTTTTGTAATAAAATTTGCTTAATATATATATTTTGCGATCATTTCTACTGCTTAAAATATTTTTAATTTTATTTCTAATACATTAAAAATATCAGTTATATTCACGTTCATCAGCTAAATTCACGTTATTTGTTCTTCTCTTCCATTGCTCTCTTCTACCAAAGAAATTAAAGCGTGTGTGAGTGTGTATATTTATTTCGTATGAAAAGTACAAAACAGAGGGAGATGCGATTAAAATGCTTGTAATCATATCACACATTGAAATCTCGATCATTTTAATATTTCGAGAGTCAATATTAAATCTATTCTTTGAATAGATTTTGAAATTGCATTTGAATCTCTCTCAGTATTTTTTGTAATAATTCGCTAAGTCTATTTCCACCATTTTTAATTCTATTAGAATATATAAATTTTTTTCCATATTTTAAAAATATTAGCTCCATTCGCGCGTTAATTGTATGCTTTTCATGCTTATTTTTTTTACTCTCTTTCGCCAAAGAGAGTAAAACGTGTGTATATTTATTTCGTATCAAAAGTGCAAAAGAGAGAGAGATTAAAAAATGCATGCAACCAATTACACGTTGCAAATATCTCGATATCTCGATTATTTCAATACTTTGAGAATCGCAATATCAAATCTACTATTTGAAATCGCATTTATGCATTTGAATCTTTCCCAGTGTTATATATCTCTTGTAATAATTCGTTAAATATATTTTTCCACCATTTTTACCTCTATCAAAATATCTCTAATTTTATTTTTATACGTTAAAAAATATTAGCTCCGTTCATAATGTATTAATTGCACTCTTTTCGTATTTATTTTCTTTGTTTTTTCATCAAAGAGGCTAAAACGTGGACGTACTCGTTTATTTACAAAAAATTCAAGAGAGATTCGACAATGAATGTAATTAATTACACCCTGTAATTGCTTCGACTCGATCTTTTCGGTGCTTCGAGAATCGCAATATCGCTTTTGAGTAGATTTTGAATTCGTGAAACTGCATTTGAATCACTCGGTATTTCCCACAATCGTTTTTATCTAATAGTGAATCTCACGCGCGAATAATCACCGGAACTGTCTCTTGTAATTCATTGTAACGTAAAAACTTTGCGTGCAATTGCTATTACACATAGTATCGGTATCATTAAATTTCGATTTTGGCGATTTATTTTTTGCGTGTTCGATCGATGTTTCGTCTTTGAAGTCATTTCTCTTCGTCAAAAATGCAACAAATGCACAATCATCACCAGGTATGTGTAGACATGTAGATTTATCATCATTTTATCTTTTCTAAGATTTGAATTAAGCAATGCTCACTTTCACAGAAATGATGTTGACAGAAATGATTTGCGTAAATTATAAAAATCGCGATTCTAATTTTAGAATTTTAGGTCAAAATTGTCTTTTATTTCCTAAAATTCTGGGATTTTTCAATATTATGTTAATATTTAATTGAGGGCCACCTGAACTTATCTTTTATTGGGATCACGTTTCCTGGACATTGTATTTTTTTGAATCAAAAATGTGAAACATGTCTTATACAATACACAAAAGTATATTGTCTGTATAAGATATGCGTGAGACATGTTTAACATCTTTGCCAGTATAATGCAGGTACAATATAAGGTGTATATACCTATTATTCGAAATTGTTATATCTTATTCAAGATTTGGGAACAATATAAAATATCATGAAATATACAAAATTGAATGGGAATACATGTTATATTTGAACGAAAGGTGTTAATATTATTGATTAAAAAATAAATCAATATTAGATAATTAAAAAAATAAATTTTTAGTGAGAAAACTGAGAAGAAACAAAAATAAATTTTTACTCAGTTTTTTTCATATATTGTTACATATTATTTGTATCTGTGTATGAATGATAACTGAGAGGAAACTGAGAAGAAACAAAAATAAATTTTTGTTTCTTCTCAGTTTCCTCTCAGTTATCATTCATACACAGATACAAATAATATGTAACAATATATGAAAGAGATATGTGTATATATATATATATATATATATATATATATATGTATATATTATTTTTACATCTTATATTAAACTTATATTAAACATTATATTAAACATTTCAAAATGGTGTACATCATTGTATGGAAATGTTTAATATAATATAAGGAAATGTATAGGAGCAAACGATTGTATATTTAAATGCAATTAGAAAATATGTTTTCCTTCTTCCAAACGGAGTTTACATTAGCATGTATGAAATTTACTTTATGCAATTATCGAAAAGATTTCGCGATTATTATCTGAGTCACATTTTTCATTTATTATTGATACAATCAACATCTCTGGAGACTTATAAATGATAAGTCGAGTTTATGGACTTTGGAATAACTCGCCAACACAATGTAGTTTCTTCATTACGCGTATTCAAAAATGGATTGAATCTACGGAGTCGAAAAGAAAGAACAATCCGGCGTTCGTTATCGATGGCGGATTTCGCGCTTGTTATTTAATAACGAGATCCTTGGAGACAATCGGACTTTGGAGTGTCTCGTAAATGTAACGCAATTTCTCTTCATCGGTGTATTCGGAAGTGGAGAGTGGGGACAGCTTTAAAATAGTTAGATCGGCCGCAGCATCGAGTAGTCGCTGCTTGACCAGTGTGCACGCGTGGCACGTGACATATCGTACTGAATTATAGAGTAATTGATACGATTCTCGATAAGCGAGCCTCATACCATCGTGCAATTTGCAGTTGCTCGCGTAGTGTCTGCGGTGTCTCCTCGCTCTGCCTGGTATCACTCGGCTTATAGTTACTCTTTACGCTCCATTTTCATAGACGGTTTAAACAATCGCGATATCAAGGTGGCCGAAAAGAGAGAAGAATGATAAATGAATATGTATCGCGAGAAAAAAAAGATTACGAACATTTATTCATACTATTTTGATATTTTTCATGTTGTCTCGAGCCGTTGATTCCTTTTGATTTTTCTTTTTACCAATCGATACTTTGTTGTTTGCCTACTGGTTAACGTAATGTTAATTTTGATATTTACATAAATTCCTTACAAAACGCATAAAAAGAAAGAGCGTTTTTAACAAATATACTGAAAATTATTACCATTTGTATGTGATATTTTATATTTATCTCTTCAAGAAATATATAGTAATATATTTTCTAATATTTTTTTTGCTACACGAGTGTAATGATTTAAAAAATTTAATATACTAGAGAGAGAATATATGAAATTGGTTATCATTTTATCTCGGAATATTCTTATATTTATATTCTTATCTCTCTTATTTTTGAAAGAATTTGATTCTTCATTTACATCATATTTTATATTTATTCATCATATTTTATATTTAAATGATACAGATATAAAATTGTCATCGAGCAATAATAATCAAAATTATAAAACGCTTTATTTTTAATTAAGTTTAGTGAATTGTCGCATATTCCTTCAATCACATTTTTACATTCTTGAGCTTTCTTAAAAGCTTCTTTCGAAGGTTACATGTGGAATAATCATCTGATCAACGATGCATGATTGTTTTCCATAGATTAGGTTCTATTCTTGTACGGCGCGACGAATATGGCGTGGTTTCGCGGTCTATTTAATTTCTTTCTGGACGATAATAAGTTAGACGAGAAAATTGGCATGACGGAGAAGCAAAAGAGGTTGGTGCAGAACACATGGGCGATCGCTCGTAAAGACGAGGTGTCGGCCGGAGTCGCTATTATGATCGCGTGAGTGAATTATTGTTTTTCTTCGTCCGTTCCACTTTCGCTAGGTCGACTTTGGTGACGATAAATCGGAAAGACGACGAACACTGCCAACGTTGGCAGCTTGAGGATATCGTAAAACAATTCTCTTGCAGACGTCAATAATAATCTTGCGATGCACGTGTGAAATTTGAAATTCTCTCTCGCTCTCTGTCTTCCTATTGACACAACTTCCTTCGTTTTCGAAAACTTCCGCATTCTAACGAGCCATTTATTTATTTTAATTAATTATCGATGCGTATCATTGAACATCCATGTCACGCGTCGCAGACCTCGTCGCGGACAACTCTCACGTCTCGTCGAAACCAATCGGATCCTCCGATGCTATTGCGTCGCGATGTATCGCAAAAGACGCGACAGAGAGTGCACGTTACGAAAATTTCAACAATTTTAGTTTTGTTGTACGATGCGGAATTAAATTATTGCAATTATCCTTCGGTGCAATTGAAAATTGCCCATTCGAAGAGCGATGATGCGCACAGAACTTGTGATTTTTAAGCACGTAAAAGATAAACGATAAATATGCGATACGCTTATATCTAAGTGTTAAATTTGCTTATTGATAACGATGATTTTAACTTTCAAGATTTAAATCGAGCGAATCTATGATTTTATTACGGAAAAACTAGCTGCATTATCGATCTAAACATTTCATTGCTCGATAGTCCTTGGTTTATAATAGTTCTTGATAATAAGTAGTCCTTGATAATAATTATTGCACATTTTCTCTCTTTTTCTCTCGCTCTTTCTCTCTCTCTCTTTCTCTCTTTCTCTCGCTCGCTAAGCTGTTTCATTTTATAAAAGATGATGAGCACAAAGTAAAGTAGCATTAAGTAAAAATATTGCAAAGTCTAAAATTACATAATTGTAATTTCGTAGGTTTTTTCGTGAAATATGTGAGAAAAGAAAAGATACAATGTTCTTTACACGAAAGATATAATGCGTATCAGAAGATCGATTTCGCAATTCTTTTATGACAAACTGTGTACATAAATAGAATGATTCACTTAAGTTGCTCATTCATATTAACTTCTACTTACAATGAGTACCGTGTTTTCATCACCGATTATTTATTCTCGATTATATATTCTTAATGCATAATGCAAAAAAAAAACATTTTATCTACAGTCTTATCTTGAGAAAATTCAATATAACTTTAGTAATAAAGAGCCTTGAAAAAATGAATTTATTTCTTAAAGAAAAATATCTCTTGTTATTTATTTATTTTTTTTTTAAATGTACGGTACATAACTCGGAATCGTTCTTATAGCCTTTTCAAACAATATCCCGAGTACCAAAAGCAATTTAAGCCATTTAAGGACGTCCCGATTGACGAGTTGCCGAAAAACAAGAGATTTCAAGCGCATTGTGTCAATATTATATCGGCAATTAGCAAACTGATTGAGCAAATGTGCGATCCAGAATTGATGCAAGCAACCCTGATTAATTTAATCGAAAAGCACAAGAATCGCGGGCAAACGCAGGAACAATTTGAAGTAAGTGAAGATTCTTCTTGTTTCTCATGATGTAACAACGACATCTTGCATTAAGAATTTTGTTTATGAACCATCAATCTTTTTGTCGTAATTTATCATAATTTAATCGACCGTTTTAAAAAGAATAATTTAAATTCTTCTTGTAGATAAGACCGTTTTAAAAAGAATAATTTAAATTCTTCCTGTAGATAAGAATCCTTTAATTAATGAAATAGATCGTAAATATGAATTATATATATTAAAGTTTTATCTTTTGGGGAACAATCTCTAATAACTTCGTTAATTTTAAGATTTTTATTTTAATTTATGACATATAACTCCGAAATATGTTTTCCTTTTTCTTAAAAAAAAAAAAAACAATTTTTTTCAGAATTTAAGACAGCTGTTGGCGAAACTCTTTCCCTCTTTATTCGGAAAACAGTACACACAGGAGGCGGAAGAGGCGTGGAAAAAGCTATTAGATTTGATGTATTCGGTCATTCATGAGGTTTATAAAAATTAAGATATCTTGAATGTGTGTGTGTATGTCGCAATTTTTAAATTGTAATTGATAAAAAATGTATAATATATATTATATACGTATAACTTTTGAAAATAATAACATTTATCAATAGATTTATAATCAATCGTGATGGAGTGATCACGGTTTTGCCTAACGTGATTTTTACGCAACTTACATACGACTAATTACATAACTAAACACTCGCATATAATTAATTTTGCGGCAAAGAGAGGATAATATTTGTTGTTTCTTACAAATATATCGATTTGCGTTTCAAGAAACGAAAAATGATCGATTAACGAAACTAATATAATACGACATTGTGATAAAATTTATACCGTGTTATATGTTTCACAATAAATATGTAAATTATCTATTGTAGCAATTTTTCAGCTACATCCTTAAGAACCTTTTCTCTCTCTCTCTCACTCTATTTTTATCTCATAAAAAATTTCATTTGTAAATCGGTGAAATCTCATTAAGAAAACGTGATGTTAGCCAAATCTGTATTATTCGCGCGCGATATGTTTCGATATTTTATTTATTATATATTTTATAATTTGCCTAACCGTGAAACGTCAATTGCTTATTGTTTACTATTAATCTTTATGAAAAAAATAAAGGATGGTATAAAAAGTGTTTGAATTAACGAAGAATGAATGATAGTGGCGCACCTATCTCCGATATTTTGTCAGGTGAGTTGAATGAAGGTTTTTGGAGCAAGAACGTGAGAACAGTGGTATTCCGATGGCAATTGTATTTTAGGACGTCGATCGATATCCTTATCCTTCCATGTTGCCGGAGGCATCATTATCGGGATTATAATTCTGACCTGCTGCTGCACTTTATTCCTGAGAAACAAGTGCGCGAGAATCATCAATAAGCTTACAGGGAGAAAGAAAAAAGAGTCAGTATGAGATCGTTCTCTGCGTTTCTTTGAGGCAGATTTTTTTCTTTAATTTCGAGATATTATGAGATTCGAGAGAATGATTTTAATCTGCGCGAAATATATGTTCAGAAAGTATCCTCCTCCCGATATCGAGGAAGGACGGAAGAAGAAGCGAGTGAAAAAATTACGGAGAAAAAGGAAAAGGACTCTTTCGCCAGAATTGGTGGAGCCGGAAGTCATCGCGCCGATTATTCCCAGGGAGCCGGAGAGATCGGAAGATGCAATCCCTTGTTACAAATGTTACAGAAAAAAGAAGAGAAGACCCAAGAGACAGACGCGATGATACATATGATGAGAGAGAAAGATCGATCGATAAGTAAACGAGTGAACATCTTTTTGGGGGAATTGAAGAAAATCTCGATATCACCAAATGACAATTTCTTTCTTTGTTTTCGTTCGCGCAACCCCCTCTTCTCCCTTTTTCTAACCTTGTTTGAAGAAAAATGCGATCTTGGGCAATCGATATTTACATTATGATTAGTGTGACAATTTTCGGATTGACAGTTCATGCCACGATAGACGTGAATCTCAGCGAATTGGAGTATCTCGCGGCACGGCTTGATCCATTCGAATGTCGGCGATTGATCGCCGCGCTTCATTACACGACTTACGACTTGCCAAAGAACTTGGCTGCGGCTGGTTAGCCTTTTTTCCCACGCTCTGAATAATTCGTTTATCTCGCTTTAAAAATTCTCCGGTCATTAATCAATTAATTTATTATTTAATTAATTTTTATTTAATTATTGATTAATTTTTAAATTAATTATTTAATAATTAATTAAATTTAATCGTTAATTAATTTATTATTAATTATTTTATTAATTAATTAATTTATTTATTCATATACTGAAAATATCTAATGCTATTTCCGTGAATGAAAGAGCGTAAAGTAGATGAGGAGATTCCGTGTCTACGTCAATTGCTCCATTGGAATAGTTCCCCCGGGGAAGGTAGAGGAAAGACGCATGCTGCGATAGTACATCGTCTTCGACAACTAAATCGCAACGATCTCGCCGATTGGCTCGGCAAAACCGCCTTCAAACAACTGGGGAAAGATCTAGACGATGCTATCGCGTCGCCTTTCGAGGATCTCGTCGCCGACGAGGAAATGGAAACTAGCACGTCAGTACTCCAACATCCTTAATTACTTTCAAGGCTATGCAAAATATACTTCACGTACAAAATGCGAACAGTACTTTTTAATCATAAAATATAAAGCGAAGCGAGAACGGAAGTACATTATTTAAACACGGATAAAGTGAACGATTTAAATATCACAAAGGCGTTTCTTATATAAATTACATATACATATTTAAATATAAACAAATATTTAAATAAATCTCTAATCTCCTACGTACGCTAAACACTTGTATTTGAAACGAAATTGCCTAGCTCTGACTATAATCTAATCTCTTTACCTTGACCTCTCTATGCACTGTTTCTTTTCTTAATGTAAAGCCTATCCTTGATACTTTCTACGCATAAAAATTTTGTAACACGAAATAAGAGAAATTATATTCTTTGAAAATATTTTAGCCTTACATTTTAAAGTAATATTTTTTATATAAGTCATCAAATTTTTAAATTTTATTTTTTTTTCGATATTTCTTGAATGTAACATGTTGATTATTATATTGTTTAATTTTATTTTATTTCGTGATTCTATGTCATCATATTTATTTTTGATCAACAAATATAAAGACATCAGTTTTGCAAACGCATTTCACTTCACATTTACAGTTTGTTTACAACAACTGAATCTGTTATTTGGACTCGAGAGGAAGATCCTTGGCTATCGATCGATACATTTTTCATGGCGCTTATGCTTGGATTGTTAGGAACATTACTCGTTTTAATTGTTGCCATTATCATACACGCTATCAAGAGCAATAAAAATTAAACTCCGCGTATATGTTTCTCTAGAGATTTAAGTAAAATAGTTTATACAATATAAAAATGTCTATTATATGTTAAAAAGAGAATAAATTAATAAAAAAATATCGCTATTTTCTGATTTTCAATTTATTATTAGCATCTTCTATTTCTTATAAATATAAATGTATTACAGTAGAAAGTAGTTCTCAGTGTTTTTATCTTATCAATTTCATATGATAAGAACTTGGATTATAAAACTGATTTTGTCACACAATATAATCCTTTTAAAATAACATATAATTTTTTACTTATTAAAAATAAATAAATATGTCTTTCACATTACAATATAAAATAAATATAAGTTAATAAGAATTCAACGAAATAAATTATTTTCAAGAAAATTGTATTATGTGTAAATAATACATTTCGATTCCGTTTCGAAATATCTGTAAAAATTAACAAAATAATACATGTTGTAATAAAATGCAGGTTAAATTATAAATTTACGCATCAAAAAATACACAAAAACAAAAGTTTGAAATTATTTTCAGGTAGTCAAATATTGCTTACATAATAAGTATTCAGTATCGATTTGGAAATTAAAATTTTTTTTTGTCATTTAATGAATAACATTTTTGACAACAATCTTTTACTCATAGAATGGTACAAAATTTCCATTTCCACTCAAGAACTTCATTATGGATGAAAGATTGTTTGTTAAATGATAAAACAGTCTTAAAAGATACTGAATGTTTATATCATGCCTATTTAAGGATTATAAAAAATTTGTTTAAAATTTAAAATCCGCGCTCATTACATCACTTCTCCACTATGTTTGTGACAATTATCTACTTGATTATTTTTTATCCATAATATCACATTTATCGTACAACAAACATTCTCTCGGGTCACATTTATAATTACAAACATTCGGATCGATTCATCTAACGGTTGCGTTTCCAATTTCTTTGGTTCTCTGTTTCTTGTGATTTTTAGTTATCTCCTTTTTCGCTCTTTTAATATATTATATAAATTTTCTAAAGTATTTGCATAATTATTTTTTTGCAATGTTTGACCATTTGAAAATGACTTCAAACTATGTATTGCTTTTATGAATTTTACTCCCTACGGTTGAACCCGATGAGAGGCTTGTAATACTTGATAAATTAAATTGGTTAGATATTTTTGCCAAAACGTATATGATTTTTTAATTTTGCATATGTATTTTTCTATCGTAGTCTTATAATTCGATCTATTCACTGTGATATATATTATTTTGTTAACAGTTGCTGAAAATAGTGAGAAATCGAAATGAAATGTATTATTTAATAATTGAATTTACTTAAAGACTGTTTTCCCTGGGTCTGCTTTTTATTAATCAATCATTATATCAGTTTTCTGTTGAATAATAAAAAGTGTCTATCTAAGGTATTTAGGAAAGAAGTTAATATAAACGAGCAACTTTTGGGTGTGAATCACCCTGTATATTCTTGTGTAAAACTCTTAAAACATAACGTATAATATATTTACATGAAAAATGTCACATACGATAAAGTTGCGCAATCTTTTATGATAAAATAGTTTTTGTAATCAAAGCCGACTTAGATTTAATTATGTAAAAATAGTGTGAGGACATAATTAAATTCTAATTGCTTTTATCTAACGCTTACGAAAATAATTCATACTCACAAGCACAAGTGATCGTTTAAATGTGCGCACGCATTATAATAATTTTATTCGATAATAATATCAATAATAAAATATAATTATTATGAGTGACTTTACGTGACAATGACCATGGCAATGGCAATGACAATGATAACAATGCTATAATAATTAGTTGTGATGATAATGCTATCGCTAATAGTGATAATAAACTATAGATTTATGACTTACGGCTTCGAAATGCGCGTAAAATTGTGACTGAGAAATTAATCATAATCTAATGGTAATAAGACTACTTGTATGACAATAACGCGTATTTGCGTGAAACTTATGACAGTTAAATAATATACTATTTAATCGCATTCGATTTGCCGAAAACGCATAACTAAGGTTTTAGCATAGCCGTTATCTGTTAGTTTGGCTGATCTGGTTAGCCTTATCACATTATCATTATGCTTCGTAAATAAGATCTGTATTTTTATAGAAGGTTATATATGGAAACTTATATAACGCATATTTTCTAAAAAACATGTGGCTGAAATTGTAATTAACCCGCCATGGAATTATCAGATGTAAAATTTAGCTAATTTTTATATTTGTTAATTATATTCATAATTGATAATTGGTCAAAGACGAATAATTACTATTATAATTTACAATTAAAAATATTGGTGAGAGATTGATAGTCAATGTGTGTTAAAAATTATAAATGTGTAATTATTGGTCGATTAATATCGATCGCAAAGGCACTGCAATGATACGTTTGATTATCCAGATAGCAAGCGCATATCATTTTGTCAAATAACGTCCATTTACAACCTGGATATTTACGTATTAAAATATAAGTTTTATTTTTTATATAATTTTTCCGGACGGAATGTGAGCAAAATGCAAGTTGCGAAAGATGACTGCTATAAAACATTAAAGTAACATATCATTAATTTAATAAAGTAACAATAATAATAATGTAATAATAAAATAACAGAAATAATAATAATCTTCCGAAATATATTCTACAAAATAATAGAATTATGAGAATTATAAAATATTAAGAGATATAATATTTAACAACCATATAATAATGGTGTAATGTAGGAATGTAGGTGTAATGTAATGGTATAGCAGTAATAGTAATAGGAATTAAAAGTAGGAGTCATAATTTTAATAGTAATAGCAATAGTAATAGTAATAATAATAATGATAGTAACGAGATAGTATTAGTCGTAAAAAAATAATGTAATAATAAAAATAATAATAATAATAATCGTGATGATGATAGCCGATATATCTTGTGCTAGATCGAGAGATAACATTGATAAAATAATAAATTAAATTAATGATAATTTAACGATCAATCAGAAAAAATCGTAATATGAATTTACACAACCATGCATGTTTTTCGCCGCATGATATAAATATTTTCTGAATATGTTTTTGATATATTCTATATATGTATGTACAACGAAATATGTTTCTTTTTGAACGAATTCATGTCATTAAAATAAAAAGAAAGATGAGTCTAGATAAAAAGAAAAGAAAGAAACACAAGACCAAAAAAAATATGGAACAAATACAAAAAAAAGAGAAGTGAGAAAATATAATAAAATATAATAGAATGCATATACAGGAAAATGATAAGAGAGAAAAAGATGATGTAGTGTACGTTTTAGATTATATGTATGTATATTTTCAGAGATCTAGCGCATTTTTTAAAGATAAATCTTCCTCGATAAATCAAAAGTCGGAATGTGTCATTCTTAAATAAAGTTTTTTAAATTAGGAATTTTTTATATATTTAACGATTTTGGAATTGCAAGATGCATATAAAGATATATTTAATGTATTATCTAGTCCTTTAACTTTATATGTACCGTAACCAAGAGCAATTTTATTAAAACAAGATACTTTTCCAGGGCTGTTATCGCGAACTTAAAATATTAACAATTGAGCACTTTATCAAAATTATTTTTCGACTTTAAAGCTTCAATAACCGACTGAATGCTTGAATTTTCTTAACAATATTAGTAATACATCTGAAAAGAGAATTCGTGCACCATACTTGAGTCGTTTTATTAAAATGCATTCTTTTATATCTTTAAGACTAGCAGTGCAGTTTGTAATCTATAGATTTTATTTGTCAATATTTCAGCCAATTTAGAGAAGAAGTGTAATTGGTGATTTATATTTATATTGAAATTTGCTTATCCAAGATAAAGCTTGAAATATTTTTAAAAATTGAAAAAACGACACTATTTGAAAAGCGTTATATTAGAATTTACTTACAAGTTTCCAACTACTTCCTAACAGATGCAAAAACACATTAAATAATTGTAGCGTATATGTGATTTTTAGCGAAACATAAATGAACAATATAATAATTAATAAAGCGATTGTACGATTTATATGAAAAATGAATTATGTCCAGTGCGAGATAAATTGCCAGCTGTTTTCTATCTGGCTCTATATACACGTAGTGTATTAGCTACGTAGTGTATTAGCTACACATTTGAGTTGACAATAATAATCTTTGCAGCAATGTTGTTATAAGCTAATATCGTTATTATAACGTAGTCTCTCCTGTCGAGTTCTAAATTTTCACATCCAAATTTTGTTCGTACGTATTCACTTGGAGACTAATCTAGTAGTCGCTGTTGATCACACATTTACGTATTACTTGTAAGGCATTTTCAATTAGATTCACTGAATCATCAGGTTTTTTGTCGTGCCTCTGCATAATTTATTTTCGGCCTCAACAACTCTTGATTATAGCGAAATTTATAGCCAATTATAAGGATTGCAAATCTTTATATAAGGATTGCAGATCATTTAACGTTTATATATAAATACGAGAATTTTATAAAAATTCAAGAATTTATAAAATTTTTGAGAGAATGTTTAGGTAATTTGTTTCACTTCACTATAATAACTATAGATAAAATGCTATTTGATTCATGTCGACATATTTGATTCATGTGACAATGACTACCTCTTTGTTTTCTATTTTGAATAATATGCTTATACAATCTCATCTCGATACAATAGACATCTCTATGAAACAATCATTAGAGGTTGTTAGTAGTTGTATATGAGTTTCATTTTGTATAATATAAGAACAATTTGTTATTGCTTTTTATAATCATCAAGACGATATAAAAAAATGCGTTTAGAATTTAGTTAGTTAAAGTTTTTTGTTATTTGGATTTGTTTCTGCAGCAGTTTCATAAATTCTGGTTAATTTTGTCAGGTTGATCTATCCTTCTGTAACAGACAGTTATTGTCTGCAGAATCTTCGCATAGTATTTCAAATGTATTTTATCCATAATACTTGGCATTCATATTTTATCCATAATACTTGGCTCATTCTTCTTACTTTAATTGCAAATGGTCGAAAACTTGAAGTACTTTGGCTTATTGATTACTCGGATATTTCTTGAGCATTTTGTCCGCCTCTTAAAGTGTTTTATTTTGTGCCATTATGAGTTTAAAACTTAGAGAAGATTTGTATTTGATGTCGTTATATAACTTCATTATTCTTGATTCCGAAAAATCGGATAGTTTAACGAAGATGAATATAACATTTTCAAAGCTGATCTTGTCAATAAACTTATCTATATCGGAATCGGTAATTAGTCGCAAACGATGTTCATTCATCGTATTCATATCATTAAAAATATATTAAATAGTCTTAACACGCGTGAAAAAAATTCCGGGCAAGTTTGCATATATCTAATTGAAACCTTTTGTTTATTGACTTATCTTTATATATATAATATTATGCGCTAATTCTGAAATATACATATATTCTAAACACGTATTCTCTTTTTCTCTCTCTTTTCCATATATATTCTATTATATTTGTCTCTTCTTTTTTCTCTTCTATCTGATCTTTCCTTTCATTGCGTGTATTTATGAAATCATTTTTGATCATCTTTATATTTTTCGGAATTTTTCAAAAACATACAACGATCTACGAAGATCCATGGCGACAAAGTGAATCATCGCGGATTGCTGTCCTTACGAAAGGCACTAACATGATAGTTTATCACAGAGTCTATGTGTATATGTGCATGTGCAACACATGTCTCGATAAGTATCGCTTAAATTGAATTTCCTTAGATCCTGCGTTCTAGATCCTCGTGAAGAAGGCTATTGTTGTTGGCCTCGTGGATCGATGCGGGCGATGATTCGTCAGGTTGCTCGCCCCCGCTTAATTCTAATTGACCGGTACTGTCACCGCTGCTAGAACCGCATTCACCATCGACAAACCTAAAGAGATATTTATTTATTCAAAGTATATTAAGTAGTGAAATATTCACATTAAAATATGCGCAAAAAAATTCCGAATAAAATTTACATACATCCAATTGGAATCTTTATTTTTAGCTTCTCATATTTTTAATTTTTTTTATTGATTTTGATATATATTTTTTAATATATATTTTTTAATATATATTTTTAATATATATTTTTTATATATTTTATATATATTTAATATATATTTTTAATATATATTTTATATATTTTTAATATATATTTTATATATTTATATATATATTTTTATATATATATATTTTATATATATATTTTATATATTTTTAATATATATTTTATATGTATTTAATATATATTTAATATATATTTTTATTATATATTTATCTTATGTTTTGAAAAACAAGAACAATACTCACGTGTACGGTTGCTCCTCGCCGCGCATCTCACATATGACATTCGTCAGTGCCATTATATAATTTTTAGCCAGCGTGAGCGTTTCGATCTTGCTGAGCTTCCTCTCCATTTTTACGTGTGGTATTACCTCGCGTAATTGCTGGAAATTATGACGGGAGAAGTAAATCGAAGATCTATCTGTTACATCGAGCCATAAATTCGCGTTAAATATTATATACGGCGCCAGAGATTGCAATTTCTAATCGAATATGATCCTCCGCAAAGAGTTGATAGATTTTTAATGATGCTGTTATATGATCGATCAATAAAACGGGCAGGCTTGTCGAACAGACTCTATCGATTTGTACAGACGCGACTTGTCATCATTTATCTTCTACACACAAATCGATTTCTCCGCACTCCGCCATTGTTTGCATTAACGTTCAACGCCGGCGAAACTTGTTTTCGAATGTTTGTTCATTAGCGGTTCTATGGAATAATTTTATACGGTAATAATTAATCAAATATTATTTTTGCTCTCATTGGGTTTACTTTAATTTAATCGCTCTGCACAGTTTTTTTCGACAAATTGTTACCTCAAAAGCATCGTTGAGCGAGTGCATTCTCATCCTCTCCCTCTCATTACTTTCCAGCCTCCTCAGGTTCCTCTCACGCGCGGAAATTCCGCTTTTCCGTCTCCTCGTGGTCGGTGGTGCGCCACCGCGGTTTCTCCTCTTCGCCTGCTTCGGACTCCTCTCGCTTCCGCTGCTGTCGCTCTCCTCGCCCACCTGTTTTCATATTCGATTCTTATGACAGAGAATAGATTTTTTTTCGAATGTACTATTTATACGTAAATTATTGCGCACTCTCAAGATATGAATATGGACGAATGTCCATTGAAAGGAATGCCCATTGAAAATGTCCTAGAAAGGAAGTTTGTTTTCGAGACAGAAAATATCATACGTGAGGATATAACGCGCAAGATTTTTTTAAATTTGGTAATAAAATATATAATACATTATGTTATGTGTTTTACAATAACATATAATATTACATATAATATATTATTGTAAAACACATAACATAATGTTCTCATTTATATGTAACTTGATGATGTAAAGAAATATCATTGTAATAAAAATTCTCTGAATAATATAATTTAATTCGTGTTAAATTAAAAAATTTAACAGTATAATTTATAAAAAAAAATAAATTGTAAATATACTTCAAAAAACAACATATTTTATGTTCCCACTTTCCTATTCGAACAATATCGTTATTAAGTAAACGAGCGTTATATTGACTCGCGATAATATATTACATAATGGTTTCTTCTTAATCTAATCTAAATGAAGAGATTTTGTCAAGCTATTTTTTTTATCAACGTAATGAAATATATTTGATTCAGTCCCCCTTCATGCAGCAATGCGCTTTGCAGATGTTTGTCTGAGCGATAAAACTTGATAGATAAAATGTTAGCAATTTCTTTCGCTGTTACATGATGTTGATAAAAGGGTTATTTATTCAATCTTAATAATTAGATAATGGGTTGTTACCGCGCAGTCTCTGGATCTGATTAATCTTATCTGTCATGAAAAATTTGTACTGATTTCGGTCATACACACAGAAAAAAAGTTTCACATTCTTGTTTTGAAAATATCTTTCGTTTTAATGAAAATCTTGAAATGAGATTATATTGCGTTAATTAAAGAAAAATATAATCTCTTGCTTGAATAAAGTTATTTTATATAGTTTAAAAATATAATCTCTTGCTTGAGAATAAAGTTATTTTATATAGTTTAATCAAGAAAAATATATTCTTATGATTTAAGATTTAATTTTCTTGAATGAAAAGGAAACACTATTAGGTAGAAAATTAAATCAAAGATTATAATTTTCTTAAAGTAGAATTAAATAATTATATATTCTTGAGATGACAATTATTATATTGAAATAAGATTATAATATTGTTGAAATTTAAAATTATTAAATTCTTCTAAGAAAATTATAAATCATTGCATACGAAAAAATGAACACATTAATTTAAGTACATAAGTTTTGATTTGATACTTATTTTTTTCTGTGTAATTGCGCTGTAAACGCGTGACTTGTGTAAAATACGAAAAATTTGGATTCTATAAATACGGGAGTAAAAAAATATTCTCTTTTTCGCGAATTAAATGAAATCGTCGAATGATGTATCGCGAAAATTTAAAAAAAAGGAAATCAATGAAAAAGAAAAATAATGATGTGAAATACCTCCGCGCCAACGACATGATGGCGACTACGTTTTCCGGTAAGCGAGTCGACGGAGGCGTCGTCCAGGTCGATGTACATTTCCCGATCACCGCAGTCTTGGTCACTACCCGATAGCCTATCCAGGCTTCGCATTATCCTGATCAAAATCACAGCTCGGATCTTCTGTAACATATCGCATCATCTTCAAGAAATGTATACTAGGTGTCAAAATTCTTATGCAAATATGTGATACAATTTTATCTTTCTATTTTTTCTATAAAACATGTATGTATAAACTTATAATAAGCAAGGGAAGAGAGCAAGAAAAATGCTGTAAAAAGCTATTAATAAAAAAATGAATCTATTTTTAATAAAAAATAATTTATAAAAATAATTTATTCCATATGTGAATAAATTTATACAATGAAATAAAATAAGTATCAAATTGTGCCTAAAGCGTTCGCTAAAGATATCGAAGTTTATGCAAAATAAAATGACATATTCAAGATTTAAAAGAAAAATCTGTGTCAAATCTGACAAGACTTCGAAACTTTAAATAAGCAGAAAAGAATATTATTGCAATCAGCAATATTTGCGCTGAGCCATATTTAAAAAAAAATGCGTAACGCAATTATGTTGCGATTCGATCGAAGGCAACGAAGAAAGAATTTCGAAGTCATCGATTATACGTCATTACTGACGTTAATAACAAAATTTCGCTCGACGATTCTGAAATACTGCTAGATTATAAGTCATGACTGATATGATTTTTCTAAAAAAATAAGAAGGCTACAGAACACAAGTGAAGCGAGAGAGAAAGAGAGATTGATATGCGTGCGAACAAAGATAATCGAATTGGGATATCCCGTTTTTCCTACTTTGTTCAATGCAAAAATTCCGCCAATTGTGTCTGCGTGTGCATGTTAAAAGAGAAGGAGTTCAATTCAATTGTTAGACCCGAGATTGATGATTTAAGCTGGAAGCGAGACGCGAGACATCTCGACATAGCTTTTACTGCTCTACTACTTTCTCTTACTATGGCACTTAAAGTATTTATGATTTCGTCAAATCTTGACGCAAAAACACGCGAACAGGGCTGTCTGTGAAATTGAGTAATGCAGTCGAATTGCATAATGCTTGATATCGAGAACTTTCGATTTTTTTCAAGCTGCGAAGAATTGCAGTGATTCAATGATGAATTTTTTCTAGGCTCTCTTATTTCGAGATGCTCAGAAGAAAATACAAACTGTGTGTTTTTCTTCTATCTTGACAGTTTGAAGAACTGAAGAAAATTTTTAATTTTGGCAATCATTCGCGCGAAATATTTTAATTAATATGTCAAATTTCGAATTAATTTCGCATAAAATTTACATGAAGATTCTCGCAAAAGAAAAATAGAGGACAATGATCGACAAGTGTTATTCGTTTAGAATCGTATCACAACTACGATTTAAAAAAAAGATGCACTAAGCGAATGCACAGTCAGTAGTGAAAAAATTGCAATCAAACGCGCATTCGACTCGTAAGCGTATTTTCGTTAACGTTCGCATATTATATCGCATGACAAATTAACTTATACTTTAACAGAGTAGCGAAATATCGGTATCTTTTGCATATCGATACGAAATACAATTCATACGACAAATTCGCGAGAATTGGCGAGAACACGTGCTTTACGATGACGTTTGTCCACGTCTATCTTTTAATGGCGCGCTCGTATCCGATACCGCTTATGATTGCCACCATACTATTACTATTAACGTTCTTGCATGCCACTCTCTGTGATATGTACATATAAGTGTCTGTAATAACGGCGCGACATAAATTATAGGAATTCAGCTTATCGAAAGTGCTTTTTGCCGGAAACGAAATTCGAAAACAGGCTATCTTCATTGTTATTTATTCGTATTTATCGGACATTAATTTATTATTATCAGCGTGATATACTCGGCGGGGACACTTGACGCGCGACGAGAAAAGAAAAGTAGCCGCTTATCGGATAAAGTGTCAAGGGCGACATGTAAACAGCCTCAGAAAGCTGAATTCGAATTTTTTTTTTTTTTTTTTTTTTTTCCACGAATTTCGGCATACATTCGCGAGCGATTTCGATAGAACAACGCGCTGTATGCATAATCGAACAATCTCCGATAAGTAATTAACGTCACAAGATAACCTTCGAATGCCACGTTGTGATTTATCGACGGGAACTCATCATGCCGCTTCAGTGAAGCTATCTAAGTAATTTCTCTTTCGGAATTTTCTCCGAATCTAAAGACGAATCGGAAAAAACCGCGAATTATTTCTCTCTCTCGAATAATTATTTACAATTTTATTTACGCTAGAATTGTAGACAAAAATTATTTTCAAAGACGTATTTCATTAAAAAAAAAATTAAAAAAAACACGTCAGGCAAACATTTTTTTTTTCTTCTTCTTCTTGACGGTATACTTTGAAAAAAGATATTACAAAACTCATGTATAATACATATAATTTAATATTCTTCGATTACATGGAGGGAAAGAGAGAGAGAGAAAGAGAGAGACGCGATACCGTTAAAAACATTGCACAACTCAAATTCGCGGCTGCATTTCGATCGCGAAAAAAAAATGTAAACTTGCATTAAATCCCGGCTCGTCCCTCGATATTGCGCGTCGAGAGTTGGAAATGGTTAATTTACCTCGTCGGCCGATTATTCTCCATCAGTGTGCCTCGTGCGTAAAGCGCGACGAGTGCACGCAGCGTCAGCGGGTTTTTCGCAGCCGCCGAACCCAAAAGTCACGTCTCGCACTTTTCCTTTCACACGACACTCATTGATATTTTGCCCACTAAATCACTGCCCGAAGCCCGATACCTTGGACCCAATAACGCCCTATCAATCACTACAGTCGCTGTTATCGAGTTCAAAGTCGAAAACGATCTCGCCGTCTCGTTGGATCGACGATGACGAGCGACGCGATAAAAAGATTCGAAAAGATCTGAGAGGAGGAATCAGACGGGAGGCTCAAACCACACTGTTATTTGCTGCTCGATTTTCGACTCGTCTTGAGAGAGAGACCCGTCCGTCTCCGAAAAGAAGAGAGAGGGAAAGAGAAATTCCTCGGTGGCGCGCACGCGTATCCGAAAAAGCCAGAGGAAACGAAAGAAGCGATACACCTTATCAGCGTGCATACGTATACCGATATGGTCAGGGCCGGCCGAGCGCCCGATGCGGACTGACTATAACTGTAAACGATCACTTGTCGGCGCGAGGAGGCCCCACCGGCTTCTCTCTCGGGGACTCCCGCCACTCGCGAATGAATATACATCTCGCGACAACCATGCCATGGTTTACCAGCGGTGTACCGAGGGTACCAGCCGCCTCGCGGCTCCCACCAAACCAGTTTCTGCTCCAGAACCGCTCTTCCACCTGCTCTCTCTCTCTTTCTCTCCCCCCTCCCCTCTCTCTCTTGCTCCGAATGCGTTCGGCCGATTACCCGGCCGAAAAATGAAAAAAATCTTTCTCGATACGAAAACTGGTTCGTGAAAAGGAAAATGAGGGAAGAGAGAGGTGGATTTGGTCCCCTTTCTTACCCTCTGCTATCTCCTCGGGGTTCTGGTCAACCCGAGCGTGCGTCGAGGGTCCACTCCGATCTCGTAATTCTTATCGTACGACCCGCGACTCGGAGTCGTTTGTTTCGTTAGAAGACTTCCTTTCGAGAGACGGACGATATTTATCAGTCTTTTCTTTTTCTTGTTTTTTTTCCTTAATGTCACCAAGGAAGCGTGACACTTGACGTTATGCAATCGCGCGACTTCCGTGAAATGTGCGGAAACCTGTTGCGCGTTTATCACCAACGTTGCAAATATATATATTATTAACGGCTATCAAAATGTATCGCGATGTATACCTCTTGTCTTCTTTCGTTTTCCATTTTTTACATGGAATATTTCATAAACATTTGTGCGAAAAAAAATAATTATCTACGAGATAGATCCTCATTAGCGGATTTGGAATCGATTTTTTCTTTAATGAAAGTGCCGAGTAAATGAGTTCCGACTAAATGATTAAGTAATGAGAAACTTTGACAAATTGAAAATTTTGACACAACAAACTTTTGACGAATTTTTAAGAAAAAAAATATGTCGCAAGTTTCTTTTCGATCAAAGATACCTAATTTTAATAGAGATTCATTTAATTCATTTATTTACAAAGATATATAACGTCAAAATTTAAGAGATGTAACAAATAATAAAATATTCCTCGAGAAAAGAGATCTCGAAATTTGTTAAAAGGGATCAAAAATATCCGACAAGTTTTGAACGCTCTGTATACATACAAGAATCAACGTGACATATAAATCATCGTTCCTCTCTTAAAGTATAAAGTGCTTGAGGTTATTGCCATCCATATCCATCAGAATTTTTCGTTTCTCTTCCGAACCTGTTTCTGATGATCTTAAATTAGGGCAATCCTTTTTGCTAACTGTACACATAGGGTACACCGGTTATAAACATCAGACTGCGTTTCCACTCCTGATGCTGTTGTGACATTTATCACGGATAAAGCGGCCGACGATCAATATCGGTATCGATTAGGATTTCGCTTCCCGGAACACTTTCGTCGCGCTTCCTTTCTAGATCGCCATCGATGGACAGACAGACGGTTTACTTCGCGAGACTCATATAACGGTATCGACCGGGGACATTCCTGCTCGGCTGAATCAATCGAGTACGTCCGTCGATGGCTCGTTGTCCATAGCTGATGATCGCGCATCGGTCAAGGCCCCTTTTCCACGCCGCTACCTTCTTCCACATTTGTACGGTGCGAGAGAACCACCTTCACCTTCTCTTACCTGGTGAGCGCGCGCGCGCGCGCGCGCGCGCGGAGATCCTTTTCTTCTTCTTCTTTTCTCCAACTCGATCTCGCGTTCTCGTTTTTCCTGCCTTTCGCTCCGACAAACGGGAGAAAATGTACGCCGGGTATGTATTTTACGTTAGATCTACGTGAGTTACGCTAGTTAGGTGAGAAACAATGCGTTCTTACGTCAGAGCTAACGAACGAATGATGAACCACACATGCGATTAACGTCCGTAACGATCGTGTCGCTCGTATAGAAACATTGCGATACACATACACACACATTGTCAACGCGTACTGTATCTTCGTGACGTAATCGAACGGTAAGATAACACGCTCGTGTGTTTGAGAATGCCATTTGATCAAATTGATATATCTCACTAAATTCACATCGCGATATATGTCAAGTACAACATAGATAATATATAATAATTGATAATACAATGCTATGTGTATAATGCGCACATGTGTCAAATGTTTCAAACAAAAATGGCCAAACTTTAGAATCATATTATATTCATTATAAAGATGAGAAAAAAATCGTCCAAAAACGCTTCCTTTTTTATTTTTTTTTAAGTTTAATTTTTAATAATAATTTCGGTGAAATGATTTAGATTAACATCAGACGAGGATCAATTGCACGCTTTCCCAATTTACATTTTCTGCATTTTTATTTATTATGGAAACATTTCAAGACTTTCGCATTTATGATACTCGCATTGCTACTGTGAAAGTACTCCGGAAATTTTCGACAGACGTGCAAGGCCTGCATTGCCGCGGAAGGAAATCATTTCCAGCAATTTCTTTAATAAGGTGCTCTTACCAAACTCTAGAGTAAACAAAAAGTATTTATAATTGAAAAAGGAGGCATTTCTCACGTTCATGTGATTTTTTCATTTCTGTGATCATTAAAATACACTCTTAAAATTCATCTATTTCTAAAATATCCTACACTGAGAAAAAAAAGTTGTTAACTTGACTAAACCGTTTAACTAAATTATTACTTTTTTAATTAAAATATTTAACTATTTAAATTAAATAATTAAATTAAATACATATTAAATCTATTAGTTAACTATTTAAATTAATTAATTTAATTAAATACATATTAAAATCTAACATGATATCTATATCTATTTAACTTAAATATTTAAATATTTTAATTAAAAAAATAATAATTTAGTTAAATGGTTTTTTTTCTCAGTGTGCATATGTTTAATATTAGCGATTCGGAATTAGTCTCTAAAAATTGTAGATTAATTGAAGAATTTGTTTTTTTCCTTTATTAACGAAAGAGCTCTTCGATCTGATACATAATTAATTCGCATTCTTTGAATTCAACTTATACTTACTATGAAGCGATAGCGTTCCCCGAATCTCGATTTTGCGATTAATCGCGTTAGTTGGTCCGCTTGATCGATATCGAGATTAACGACACGGTGAGAGACAGTGGACTGCTCTCCTGCTTGACTCGGTAAGAATTCAACTGAAAATACATTGATATACACACCTACTTTTCTCCGCATGCTCCGACGTAGCTGCACAAGTGCGCGCTTCGCATTCTAGTCGCCATGTCCCGGGACAATGTTCGACCCATTAAAAGCATCTTGCCGACTTGTACCAGTGTGTCTTGAAACTCAAGGAAAAATTAATAATGTAACGATCTGCGATCGATTTTTTTGATAGCGACAAGTTGCGTAATTTTTCGACATTCGACATTTTGGCGATTTAAACCGCACGAATTAAAAAATTCTCCATTGAAATAAAATCTTCTCCAACTCGGTTGCATTCCATTTTTTCCAAGAGCTCCATTCGCGAAGAGCCCTTCATTCCAATTTTAAGTTTCTAGTTTAAAAGCTATTAACGTCTCGTCATCTTCGATAACGAGGATCGAGTCTACACTTAACAGCGAAAAAATATTATTTACGTCTACTTTTCGCGTCAGTCCTGAAACATTCTATATTAACTAAGACTGTTCAGCTTCCAAAGATAAACACTCTTGACATGAATAGGTAATATAACATGATCGTTTTATATTTATCTCGACATTTGTGTTAAAATAACATGCACCTACACAGTAATCGCGATTTGTATTGTAATTGAGAATAGAGTATTTAACACAATATCCTATAAAATAACGTCACTTTTTTCTGTTTTCTGTGATTCGCACAAAAAAATATAAAGAGAAATATATACGATTTTTTTCAAATTATACAGGATGTTTCTTAATAAGTGCGAAAAATTTTAGGAAACGATTCTTTGTCGAAAATTAAGGGGGGTTTTTCATATAAATATTAAAAAGTTCTAATAAAAAATTGAATAGGGGTTGCTAGTTTCATCTCCTTATAACAATACGGAAGGCTGAAAAAAATATTAATAAATAACCTTTTTACTAGTAGAAAATATCCACCTAATTTCATTTCTTTAACTTGTTCCAAATTTGAAAAAAAGATAAAAGCTTAATTTTTACCTCCCCCCATCTTTGGAATGTAACTCCACAGGGAGGGATGTAGGAGTGTATGTTTATATGAAAAACCTCCCTTTTCGACAAAGAATCATCTCCAATAAAATTTTTCGCACTTATTAAGAAACACTTTGTATGTACATAATTTCTTTTAACAGAACAATATTTATGCTAGCAATTTTTTTCGGCAATTTTTCGTGATCGATATTTTCTTGGCAAGTGAAGGATCCTTAAAACGACGGGGAAAGATCGCTCGATCTTATTTAACTTGAATGCGGTTATAAAAGACCGGTTTCCTCGGTTTGCGCTTTATATGCGGTTTATACGTCTCACGGCAACCCGACAGAGTTCTTAACGAACTATCGAGAACTTTCCATTTCAAAATAATCTGTTTTATCGATTAGCGTATTACGATATCGTTTTAGATACGTCATTGATATGTATGGAGTAACCAGTCAAGTGATACAGCAAAAAAAATAGATTGTTTTCAGCTACTTTATATCGCGATAAGAAATTTACTTCTTGTTCTGTTACCTTGCAACGTGTTTAATAAACACGTAGATTAAAGAGAACGATAGACAATGATTCGCTTAATCTTCAAATTCAAAAGAGCGAATTCATTCTCCAATCAACATCATACGTATCATTCGTCACGGACACTCGGTACGTGGCCTTAAATTATCGCCGAATCGACATGCGACGCGAGGCCGAAAACGGAGGAATGAGAACTCCATTAAATCGGCAGGAATCCGCCCTCGCCTCGGGCAGAATTTCTCTCAAACGATCCAGGTCGAAGTCAGCGACGGGAGCGAGATGATGAGGGGGGGAGGGAGGGAGGTAGGGGGGAGGGGGAGAAAGAAAGGAAGGAAGTCGTGAATTCTCCTTTCGTTTAACGAATTTTATCGCTTCTTGGTATCGCGGGCGGTAAATTAAGTT